AAAGGTTAGTATCTAGTATTCGTTGAGATGAGGCTCAACTGCGTTCCATGCCTGATCGGCTCATACCCAGACCATGCCAGTTACAGGGCATTCGATACCGTATGATACCCCACAGCAACCCCTAGAAGAGAATCTCCTTGGTCGCCCAGGCTGTCAGATCCATCCAATTTCAGCCTGCCTACCTCGGGCACTAGATACAAAAATTTCTATGTGCAGCCTAATTCGATTTGCATTTGCTAGTCCAAAAAAACTGTGACACATAGCCCAGTCATTCTGTCCCGCCGACGCCGCTCGCATGACGGGCATTTCGAAGTGGATTCGAAACCTTCAATTCGATTAAAAGGACTCAGGTCCATCTTCCCACCAAAGAGTAGAGAGGGATGAAGCCAAGATCAGCCTCAGCCAGATTGTATTTGGCCAGACCAATATTAAGAACTACAGCAAGACCGCTGCTGTTTGCGCCTGCCCGTCAGTGTATTGCACCTACCCGCACACCTCCAGTTTCAAGCCCCTCCATTACAACCAGAGCATTTTCTCTGCCCCGCCTCACTTCCTCTTCTACATTCTTCCCCTCCACCACCACTGCCCCGCCTCCAACGACATTGGAAGAAACACTCAAAATGGCGCCCAAGAACAAGTTCGAGCTCAAGACCCCCAAGGGCACAAAGGATTGTAAGTAAAAATGGCCAGGTAATGCTCAAACCATAGGATCTCGACCCTAACGTACACCAAGGGGAGGGAAAGGACATGGTCATTCGTGATCACATCTTCAACACCATTACCCAAGTCTTCAAGCGCCACGGCGGAGTCACAATTGATACCCCCGTCTTCGAGCTTCGAGAGATTCTCGCCGGTAAATATGGAGAGGATAGTAAGCTCATTTACGATCTCGCCGACCAAGGTGGTGAGATCTGCTCCCTGCGATACGACTTGACCGTCCCCTTCGCCCGCTTCCTCGCTATGAACAAGCAAATCCAGAACATCAAGCGATACCACATTGCCAAGGTCTACCGTCGAGATCAGCCTGCCATGACCAAGGGCCGTATGCGAGAATTCTACCAGTGTGATTTCGATATTGCTGGAGTCTACGACCCCATGCTGCCCGACGCCGAAGTTCTCCGTATCATCACAGAAGTATTTGAGGGACTTGGCTGGAACGGTGGATACACGATAAAGCTGAACCACAGAAAGATCCTCGACGGTATCTTCCAGGTTTGCGGCGTGCCTGAAGACAAGATCCGTACCATCTCCTCGGCTGTCGACAAGCTTGACAAACTGCCCTGGGCTGATGTGCGCAAGGAAATGACCGAGGAAAAGGGACTCGATGGCGAGGTCGCCGATCGAATTGGAGAGTGGGTTGTTCTGAAGGGCAAGCAAGATCTGCTCCAGAAGCTGCAGAGCACCGAGAAACTGGCCGCCAACGAGTCTATGAAGAAGGGTATGGAAGATCTTGAACTTCTTTTTGAATACCTTGAGGCATTCAACTGCCTGGACCGGGTTTCTTTTGATCTCAGCTTGGCTCGAGGTCTCGATTACTACACCGGTCTCATCTACGAGGTTGTCACCCAGGGTTCCGCTCCCGAGGTTACCCCCGGCCAGGAGAAGACAGATTCCAAGCCTTCAAAGAAAAAGGGTAAGAAAGGTGGCGAGGATGAGGACCGCTCTGATGATCCCACTGTTGGCGTTGGAAGTGTGGCCGCTGGAGGCCGATACGACAACCTCGTTGGCATGTTCTCTGGCAAGAGCCAAATCCCTTGCGTCGGTATTTCTTTCGGCGTCGATAGAATCTTCTCCATCACCAAGGCCAAGCTGGCCGCTGAGAAGAGCGCTGCCGTCCGCAGCAACGACGTTGACGTCTATGTCATGGGCCTCGGAAAGGGCTTCTTGAAGGAGCGTATGTCAGTGTGCGCTAAGCTCTGGGAAGCTGGTATCAAGGTCAGTTGAGCATTGTGCCATTGGACACTATCAATTCAATGAACAAAAGGCTAACATGTTGTCAGGCTGAGTTTTCTTACAAGGTCAAGCCTAAGTTCGCCGCGCAGTTCAAGGTCGCTGAGGCTAATGGCGTGCCTTTTGCAATGTTCCTTGGCGATGACGAAGTTGCCGAAGGCAAGGTCAAGATCAAGGAGCTGGGACTTCAGGATGGTCATCCTGAGAAGGAAGGTGTTCTCGTCTCTCAAAAAGATATGGCCAAGGAGATTAAGGTCCGACTTCAACGAAAACGCGAGCTCGATGCGATAACCACACAGGCTGAAGGCCTCCGAGTGGTTCACGGTATCAAGGGCGATGCGGCCAAGGATACAGAGAAGAAGGAGGCGGAGGAGGATGCTAAGCCCGAAACTACACCAGCAGCGGCCGAGCCGACTCTAGAAACAGAAGAGCAAGGCCCCGCCAACCCAGCGACGTAGGGTTATGTCACGAAATACAACAAGCAGTTAAAACAATGGCCATGGCGTTTGAGTGTTATTTGATAGAAGGAGTAATCTGGGAAGCATTTTTCTCCCTGCAAGAGAATGATCGCCCTGTACTTAACCGCGGATACTGATTGGGGAAAGAAGTCACTCCGTGATATAGATGATCATGACTACATTTGTCGTGGTCTAATGTAACTATTTACAAAAAGTTCCTGTCTACGACAACCACGATGACAACAATGACCTGTTGATTGACCAAGCAGGGCTCCAAGGTCATTCTTTAGCGAAAGTTTGTCGCCTTGAACGATAGGCGCTTTCGAGAGCGTTACTACGAACGGTCAACAATCGAGACCAAACGATTTGTTCGAGGACCAAAATGCTCTTCCACGCGGCCGGCATAAAGTGGCAGACAAGCCGTGACCAGCCCCCGCTTACGGCTGCAGCCGACGTTCTCGGGAGCAATGAGGATCCCCAGGCCGAAACAAAGACAGAAACAGAAACATAGACAAAGACATGGAGGCGGGGGTCTAGAAAGCGGGCCCTCCTGAGCCTCAATTGACCAGAGACGCAGGTACCGAGTCGCACATATGCAGTTCACGACATGTCAGTTCCCGCAACCGCCAACGAATTCTGCGTCAGACGGACCTGCATTTGCAACCGTCGACAGTCGATGAGCGGGCTGGGCCGCGAGATGTTGCTGCCACCTGACAAATACGCAGCAGAGGGCATGAGGGTTGAAGCTTGACTGCCATGCCAAATGGTGGTCTGAACCAATTTTCTGGATCCGAGACGCTGGCGTTTTGATGTTCACGCCACCAAACGCGGCAGTGCCTATTGTACTGCGAGTAGAGTCCAGTGTGGCCCGCGTTATACAATATTCTAATTTGTCAGTCACCCTTTGTTTCGTGTCTATGAGCCAGGTCATCCAAGGCACCCCACCAGTGCTCGACATTCACGTATGTCGACTTTCATCCATAGGAAGCTCTATCCGGTGGCTGGTTTCAGCACAACGACCATGGAACAACACAAAAAGAGATCAAGGAGATCGAAATCTATAGAGATAAGAGATGATCGATGCGGCCCCGCGGTCACCGGGCCGGCCCACCCACAGGATGATCTAAACATCGCGCGGATAGGCGGCGCGAAACCTAGAACCTGGGCTTGACTGGATCGGAATCCACTAGACTACAGTGCAGGATCGTGGATTACCTACCTACATCTTGTGTATGACTGTCAAGCTTTTTCAATAGAAGAAATGGCTCTTTGGACTTTCTTTGTGTACCAGGATGATGATCAAAGCAACAAGTTGAAGCATGTTTGAAAATTCCTCCAGTAGAGCAACATTTACTAGAACTGAAGCAGCGGAGCACAACCAGCTGAACCAAGCCCGAAGGACGAGACCGAGTATATCCTTCGAGCGAGGGTGGAAGCTAGTGCTCGGGTTGAACCTGTCATCCTACGAGTGTGTGCCATCTCTGTTCGTGGATGAACGAAGATTAAGTAGTTTCTGAGTTTGTGTTAGTATGTTGGCTCAAGAGTGCAAGTGTGACAAGACACACTTTGCTCAGCCCTTCTCAACTCCAATAACCCACATCGTGTAAGTCAAACAGTCCCCGCCAGTCATTGTTCTCTCACCAGTTGCCATGATTCATTTGTATCGATGATGGTACTTTCTAGCTTGTCCCGTCTATCAACGACTATAACTTATGACCAGCGTCGTTGCCGTCATTGGGGCTATTGTAAAACTGCCTGGCAACCAAGCGCCGCTGACACAAAGGACGAGACCAAGCCCAGCAGTGATCTTCGTTGCCCAGAGATCGGTGTTCCCGACCACGGGGCATTATAGCCGATAACCATAGCCATCAAAGTTGCACTCATCACCTGGACAACTTTGGCACTGGCTACATGGCTCGTCGATGTGGCGTTTGTATGTTCAACACCAACCGCTTTCGGATATCTTGAATTCCAGTCAAATTCTTAACTACCCGCAAGCACCACGATCGCACAAACATGTGTTTTTTCGTCTGTTTTCCGTTTTCTAACGCCCAAGAGTTCTTCACTCTGATTCGAACGTGTTATCTTGTCTCTGTCATCTCGACGTGACCCCAAACTCCCAAGTCCGGCTTTCACAACACAACTCTCCAGACAACTTAACTTGTCACTTACAACAACTCGCCTCGTGCTGCGGAACTAACCTTCGACTCGCTCATTGTCTCACCAATCAATTTACGGAAAGACTCAGGAGTGTCTCTCTTTTGCCCCTCATTATCAGGGAAGACCATTAAAGACACTCGCGCGTCACGTCACAGTCCTTGAGTCTTCTGTCCTACGAGGTCACAGTCCACGCATAAGACTGACCACGGGGAGCTGAACTGAACTGAATTGACAACGAACAATCTCGGCAACATCATATTGGTATATTGGCCGCACAAACTTTGGCCACGCCACGCGCGCCGCCGCCTTCAGTCGGACTCTTATATTGTAACGCCCCGGAACAGCCTCTGCCCAGTCTGCCTCGAGGCCTTGATCCCAGCACTCGGATACGAGCCTTGGGCCTGCCTCTACCGCACGATATCGCCCATTAACATGGCTGCTCTATTGCCTCAACCAATTCATGCAACCAATCCTTCGCTCTGGCATTCACGAGCATCGTCGTTATCCATGTCATCGCGCAAAGAGACTTGCCGCGCCTCCTCAGTCCCTGAATGGCTCCCTCTGAACGGCCCAGAAACAATGAACGTTCTACCTTTTACGTCTACCGAGTGGTCAAATATTATTACCGATGTCAAAAGAGAATTTCTCAACCGTCGTTACCGTCCTTGTGCGACTAGGTGCAGCGAGATCTTGAACAATCTTCAGGATTCTGTAAGTTTTCTTGCAGCCGTGAATATAAAGTATAAGTCTAACGTTACACAGAGTATCGTTGAGCCAGCCTATCTCATTTACCTTCATTTTTATGCCGCCAACTCACTCGAGATGCTCGCTCGTGCACTTGATCAAGGTGTACCAGCACGCACTACACTCCTTTACCAGGCTCGCGATCACTACCAACGCGCGTCGACACTCATCAATGCCGCAGATTCGACTGTCGGCCCGGCTTTGCTGCGAAGGCCATCTGGAACTACAACGACACTCCCCAGCCTTCACTCAGCCGACAGCTCTGTGAGCTCCTATGTTTCATCGACATGGACGTCGACTCACAGCCTATCACCTGCATCATCAATTTCATCTATTCAGAGTGCACCCACATACAAGCGAAAGAAGAAGCGAGTGACATTCAGCGATGTGCCTATGGAGTTACTCGAGCGTCCAGATTCACCAACACTCGGCCTCGGTAGCTTTCTTGGGCCTGCACGTTCATCATCACCAGAATTTTCTGGAAGTGAATCTTTTATACCACTAGCTCTTCGAACCACATCACAGACACCCCGATCGATTCTCACACCACGCTCCGCACAGAATGAGGCTGCGCCTTACGCGCAATCAGAGCTCGACCCTTTCCGTCATGCTCGTTCTGTGCATCGCTACAGTGCCCTTCTTTCCGGCCTGCAGCGACAAGTCTTTCGACATCTCCACTTCATCGAAGCGGAGCTAGACCAGCAGCAAAGTATTGTGAGGGAGGAAGAAAAGTCGCTATCACCGGCCACGAGGGTTGTGGTCCCGACTACATCTGCCACACCAAACGCCGATAAGGCTCGCTCGCCAGAGCTACAGGCACGAATCGAGCGGTTAAGGGCAAAGGGCTGGGAACGCAAACGATTCGACGTGCGACGGTATGCTGAATTGCGCGAAAGTGCTTCTGCAGATATGGAATAACCATCACGCTGCCGCCGGTGGTCTAATACTAATATTTGTTGAGAAAGATGAAAATGTACGGTTTATTTTCTACCATTTATTGATGTTTATAAGACTTGAATGATACCACGAAGAGGAACTAGCAATATGTTCCAGGGCTGCGCTTGACGCGTGGGTTGGGAATGGATAATGAGGACACAATAAAGACTGGTTCTTTAGCTCAAGACAGAAGAACAGGGGGGTTGCTATTGACTCAATTATATGATACCACTTTATAGAGCATGGATAGTAGTAATCAATATGCAGTCTCATCGATAATCAAACATGAAATACACTTGAATGAATGGGGTGATAAAATCATCACTTCCTCTGCCCAGACGCATTGCTTGAAATCAATTAAATCGCTTCGACCACATCGATGAGACATACATGGCTTTTAGTCCAAGTTCCCTGTCCATCGTCTCGTCCCAACTTATTGTACCCGACGTTCCCATCCTTCTTATTTGAATAGACGGCTGCCTTGACATTTTGTAAAGTCACATATCGATGTGCACTCTAGCACAAAGCAAAAATCTTGTAATTTGTAACGACCACAAATCTTATTCTTAAGCCTGGAAGCTGCGTCGCTTGACATCCTTTTCGACCTCTTGCGTGACGCGGAGAACCTCTCTTTCCTCCTTTTCGTCTGCGAGCTTTGCCCTGGCAACCTCGGAGAAGATTGCCGATAGATCTGAGTTGTCGGGATCCTCCTCCATAGCCTTGAGCTTTTCGATACGGGCCTGAAGCTTGATCTTTTCGATGATACGCCTGAATCGGCTTCTGGCGCGGAACGACTTGATCTCGGGCAACAAGTTGTAGTCGGTGGCATTCTCACCAGTAAGCCAGATGTGACCCAAGGCTTCCTGTGTTACAGAGTCAGCTGGTGCGGGGTGTAGAGATGATGGTGGTAACTTACTTCACTAGTCCAACGCTTGTCAGCTTCAGGGTTGATAAGCTTCAGGATAAAGTCCTTGGCGTCGTTGCTGACATCCTTCCAGTAGCGCTCGTGGAAGACGACAGAGTTATCAGTGCATTCTCGGATGAGATCCTGGAGGTTCTCGCTTCGGAAAGGTGAGTAACCGCAGAGCAAGGTGTAAGTAATAACACCCATAGACCACATGTCTACAGGCTTTCCGTGGCCTTCCTTGCGCATCACCTCAGGGGCAGCATAACCAAAGGAACCAGCCATGGTCTTGAGAGACTCGCCCTTTCCGTCAAGCATCTTAGCGATACCAAAGTCGGCTAACACGAGGTCGGATTCAGGGTCTCTGTTGAGGTAGAGAAGGTTCTCAGGCTTGAGATCTGCAGATGAGGTTAGCTGCAGGACCACAGTATGACCCGTTCATAACACATACCTCTATGAACAATGTTGTTCTTGTGGAGGAAATCGACAGCAAGAAGAACTTGCTTGATGGTTTCGGCGGCATCCTTCTCGGTGAACTTGCCCTGTTCGCAGATACGGTCAAAAAGCTCGCCGCCAGTAGCAAGCTGTGTAACGATGTAGAACTTGTCCTAGTGGTTTAAAATATGTGAGTTACAGTGCATTTCCAAGGCGGAAAGAGGGGGTTTCCAGCTAGGCCAGGGACTGAAGCCGCTGACCCAGGATCAAAGAATATGGGCTTCAAGGTTGGAATAAGCTTACCCTCGACTCAAACCAGTCGACAAACTTGACGATATGAGGGTGCTTGAGCTTCTGCAGCATCTCGAGTTCGTCATAGACCATCTGCTCGTTGCCCTTGACATTTCGCTTGAGGATGATCTTTACTGCAACCTTGCCGGTAGGGCCATCGGCCTCGCGAACAACTCCATATGTTCCAGCACCGAGGGTTCGACCGAACTTGTACTTGGATCTGTGGAAAATGCATTGTTAGGATCTGGAGGCTTCGTAATAGAGGGGGTTTCGAATCGCGCACTTCTTATCGTAGCTCTCAGGCTGGCCGTGAAGCCTGTTTAGCATGCCGGCGACTAGAGAAGTAGCCATGATCAGCAAATTGTTCAAAAGGGAGGAACGACGAGCGTAGATTTAGAGAAGAAGAGGCTTGCGAGCCCAAGACGAGATGCAAAGCGGGGAGCAGAACGAGGCTGCGAATAGTCGCAACTTACAACTCATGTTGGCGGGGTAGTCAGATAGCAACCCGTTGGATTTTGGAGACAGCTGGAGATCAAGAGTCTGAATGGAGGGGAAAGCGACAGAACAGGGTCCGTGTCTCGCCTTCTAGATGAAGAATATAAGGCCTTAAGACAATCAGGTCTCAGGCGCAAAGAATGTTGACTTGTGATAAATCACGCCTCTGCAATAACGAGGGGAGAGCTGTTTTTGAAAGAAGAAGAGAGGGAGAAGGGACGACAAGGCGGTCCTTGTTAATTAAGGTAACGGAACTTGCGACGACCAAGCTGATCCCATTAGCTCAGTTCAGTTACCTGTAGGTATGTCGGAAGCCAGGGGACCGATGGACCTCCACTGTACCTCTTGGGCCAGGTTCCATGCTGACAGCCTACGCGACAGCCAGGGCAGACAGCGCCGTATTCGACCGGACCCGACCTAACCTACTGACTGACCCTGGGGGGATTTAGCGCTAGCGGAGGTTATGGGATCGACTGGTTGGCTGCAGACAGGGTGTGGCTCAGCCCGGCATAGGCCGGTACTCTGTATTACGGTACAGTCCATATTTGAGATGAGATGAAGTGGGCTGAAGGCATCGCCGGATCCATCAGATGGATGCTGACAGGGAACTAAAGGTGCGCTGCAATGCCGGTTACCTCCATAAGATTGCCTACATTATATTGCAGGTGAGGCTGAGGCGTTGTGGATCGCTTCTATTATATCCAATTTTCGTTTAGGTTGATGGAGTGGCTGAGCCAAGAACAAGTACCAACATCTGTCCACGATGCCATCATGATTGATATATCCTTTTCGAGGCCATGATGCCTCTTGATTCCATACAACAAACCTTGCGAGGCTGCTTACAGTGTATTCAAGATAAGTATTTGTGTCTATTTGAGTTAACAATGCAGGGGCGTGTCTTAGGTTCGAGATAGCGCGGGAAATTAGAGAGCGTATCCCAATAAAATGCACATTGACATTGAAATATAGCTTCAAAGAATAGGTAGAGAGAGTAGATAAGCTGGTGACGGTTTGAGGTTGCGGATGATCACGTTAAGATAAGACACCTGGTTTGTTTCACAGCCGCCATGATCTACATAGAGTTCTCACATAAGAATGAAGGATTACTTGCATCACAGCAGCCACTGGCCAAAGGTCAAACTGGGTAGATATCCAGGTGTATCGTGCCAGATATCTATACCTTGCAGTCTGATATAGAGTTTTGTTGAAATCTTGTCGAAGAGTATGGCCTTGTGGCCCTATGATATTGTTTCATTACCGAAAGTTTACTGTTATAGGGCATCTCGTTTCTTCATGAAATAATCGAAAGTCTTAACGATGCAAATACCTTGCAGATGCCCAAAAGATTATCTTGAATGGAATATTGTTAAATGGCCTGCCTTTACTTCGAAACTTGCTACAGCAGTCTACAATGAATCATACATCGATTCCAGTTGGACTCGCCTTGGTAGTACAGCAGTGTCCAGAGACTAGGATAAATGTCTACGAAGTTAGTGAATGAAATCTTCAGATTTGTTCACAGAAAGACTTACCTTCAAGAGACGATGATGGCATAGAGTGGAAGTCAATCACAGGTGCTGGGTGTTTACCCAATAGCACAACACGAATCAAATTATGGGTCTAGCTCAGTTGATTTACTTGTTGTCGATCCCGAGGGTCTTGCAAGACGCTTCGGGACCCGGTCAGGCCAGGAAGTAGATGAATCGATGAATTTAATAATGTCAAACTCAAAAAATGTATTGACTCATATTCAGAACTGAAAACAACTCGCTCGTGCAGCAGCTGTAAGAGAGACGCTCGGCTTCAGCAAATTATGAACCAATCACAACTAATTTTGAGGCTGTTCTCAGATGGGGGGTCATATTGTGGGCGCAGCGCCGCAAACGGCCCCTCCTTGGGTCCAAGGTTGATGTTTGTCTGTTCTACGAGCCATCAATTGACCTACAACCTTTCCTTTCATCTACATCTTGATCATCCGCCACAGCTTCTTCAATCCTATCTTGCCATCTAAACAATAAAGTTTCAACCCTTACAAAGAAGAGCGCAACTGAACATCATTTACCATGGCTGGAGCCACGCGGGATAGGCGTCTGGTCAAGGAGCTAGGCAAGGTTGGTTTTCACTTCTCTTGTGCCTTCATCAACAAGCACATGGATGGACTTCACTGACGCTGTGTCCCGCAAGATGCACAAGGATGGAATGCCTCCTGGTATCACATTGATAGAGCGAAACGACAGTGTTGCCGGCGACTGGTTCGTCGACATCCAAGTGCTTGACGAGAATCCACTTTACAAAGATCAAATCTACCGCCTCAAGTTTCACTTCCCCAAGATGTATCCCATAGGCACGTCACCTTTGATGTCTTGTCCTTGCAAAGATGCTAACCGGTCTACAGAACCGCCAGAGGTTACCTTCGACAAGCAAACCGACCGTCCGATCCCAATGCACCCTCACATATACTCCAACGGCATCATCTGCCTTGATTTGTTAGGCCAACAGGGCTGGAGTCCTGTTCAAAGTGTTTCCAGCGTCTGTATGAGCATTCAAAGCATGTTGACGAGCAACGACAAGGACGAACGCCCTCCTGGTGACGAAGACTTTGTGCGAGGCAACAGACAACGACCCCGAGACATCGAGTTCCTCTACCACGATAATACCGTCTAGGTCGTCGGTAAACATGTGATCGTCCTGGGCAGAGACAAGATTGTGGATATTAATAGCATTCGTTTGGCGTTTGGGACAACCATCCCGTGGCTGAGGGATGTCATGAAATGGGGTACGGGCTTTGAATTTGCTATTGGGACACGGCTGTCAAAGATGCGTATTTGTATAGACTGAAGCCTGTGCATAAGCATCTTGAATGCACACTTGGCCGTGGCGCGGATATCATGAAGATGGCACAAAGGTTTCCCTACCAAGCACTTGGAGCCTTTCTAGACCATGGTGGCTTACGATTATTATGAAAATTTGTCAAGACGATTGCCTAACTGACTCTTTTGAGTGGTTACAAGAGTGATCGATCAACGCATTACTTGGTAAGATATCTGAGCAAACCCCAAGGCAAGAGATGTATCTCCAGGTATATGCACTAAGAGTGAGAGGATCTTTACCTATATGCCATCGTTCATAGAAAATGCTGTAGAATCTATATCAAATCTGATACGACAATTCTAGCATCCCATGAAGCTATTCAGAGATGGCTATCATGATCGGCCCCACATATCGATAAATAGCGGTTAAGAGCTGAGAGGTTGGTCCCTTAGCGCTCTGCATTGGCCCCCACTTTACTGTCGTCACCCACATGGTATGGCAGCACCAGCTCCAACAACCCGTACCTGACCCATCGTCCATTTGACTTGACAATCTCAGTAACAGACTGAGCTCACTCACTCTCGTTCCTCCCAACCTTCCCTTCTCCGATCCTGTCAGCCGTTTTGAGTCGTACAAATGGCTCCTCGTCTAGAATTCAGTATCGAGCAAATTCGAAATAAGGCTCGCAAGGACCTGCTGTATTTGCTTGAAGGTGTATGTTCCCACCGCCTTGCCCCGCGACTTTCAAGCTACCCCGTTCATATGTGTTGCGATCCCAACTTACACTCATCTTCTATCTAGGTTCGCGGAAAGAAGAATGTTATCCTCGATCAGAGTCTTGTCGGTCCAATCGGGACTATAGTCAAGGTTGCAACTCTTCAGGAATATGGAGTGGATAAGTTCTTCATTTTGGAGAATGACAACGCAGATACAAGCCAGCGCAATGTCGTCTTCATCTCTCGGGGAGAGTGCGGTCGCCATGCCGAAACTATAGCAGGTTTGTGGATGTCTTCGTATTTTGAGAAACGTAATCTAACCCCGGGCCAGCCCAGATCAAACGCATCCAGCGCGAAAGCCAAACAGGGCACGACTTTCACATCTTTTGGGTCCCACGCCGAACCCTCGTATCCGATAAGCTGCTTGAAGATGCCGGCGTATTGGGCGACGTCAATATTTCCGAACTCCCACTTTCCTTCTTTCCTTTAGAGAAAGATGTACTATCCTTGGAGCTCGACGGCTCGTTTCGCGACCTATACCTTTCGAAGGACGTTACACCAAACTTCCTCATGGCGAAAGCCCTCATGGAAGTACAACAAAACCACGGTCTCTTCCCGCGAGTGATAGGAAAGGGTGATAATGCAAAGCGTATCGCAGATCTGCTTTCACGTATGCGCCAAGAGCTTCTTGCTGGCGAAGGCACAGCAGAAGCAAATAAGATTGGGTTGACGCCCAGTACCACAAACGAGAGCGTCATTATTATTGATCGCGAGGTTGACTTTGTTACACCTTTACTTACTCAACTTACATATGAAGGCCTCATAGATGAAGTTTTTGAAATCCACAACAACCAGACCAAGGTTGACACAACTGTCGTTGGCGCACCGGCGCAGGCGTCGGCTGCAACCTCGCAAAGTCGCAAGCGAACGATACAATTGGACTCAACTGACAAGCTATACGAACAGCTACGAGACGCCAATTTTGCAATCGTTGGTAGCTTACTCAACAAGGTGGCCAGGCGATTACAAAAGGTACAAAGCGACTACGAAAGCAAACACAAAACCAAAACCATTGCAGAGCTCAAGGATTTTGTCAGCCAACTACCAGGGTACCAACAGGAACAACAGAGCGTCAAGACGCACACAGGTCTAGCAGAAGAGATTATGAAACACACCAGGACAGACGAATTCAAGGGACTTTTAGAAGTCCAGCAAAATCTTGCTGCGGGAGCCGACCCGTCAAGCCAGTTCGATGGGATTGAAGAACTGATATCACGAGATGCTCCGATAGCGCAGACGCTGAGATTGCTGTGTATCTACTCCTGCATATCTGGAGGCATCAGACCCAAGGAATTCGACCAATTCAAACGTCTCATCCTCCAAGGTTACGGCTACCAGCATCTGCTTACACTCAGCAATCTTGAAAAACTCCAGCTTTTCTTGTCAAAATCATCACCACTGGCCGGAATGATACCCATCCCAGGTACTAATGTCGGGGCCGTGACAACAGGCAGCAAGACGAATTATACATATCTTCGCAAACAACTCCGGCTTATCGTTGACGAAGTTCAAGAAGACGACCCCAACGACGTATCATATGTGTATAGCGGCTATGCTCCTCTCTCCATCCGCCTGGTTCAATGTATCCTGCAGAAGCAATATCTCCTCTCTGTGACGAAAGGGAATAGCGCGAGCGCGGCGGGAGCACCCCCAGGCGTTGGTACGCAAGGTTGGCAGGGATTCGACGAAGCAGTCAAACATGTTCGTGGTCAGACATTCTATGAACACCAAAAGGGCGAAGACAAGGCCGTCAAAGCGCGAGCTTTGCTCTCCGGCAGCGGTAATAAGCAGACTGTTTTTGTTGTCTTTGTCGGCGGTATAACTTTCACAGAGATCGCCGCGCTAAGATTCATTGCCAAGCAAGAAGAAGGTGAGCATATTCACTGCCTTGGTTTTTCTATAGTCACATAGAATCTAACGTTGACTCTAGGGCGACGGAATATCGTCATTTGTACGACGTCTATCATCAACGGAAACAAGATGATGGAAGCGGCGATCGAGAAAGAATCATTTACGAAGGAGAGCGCGCCTGTTGCAACGACCTGAAAGTAGCATTTCATAATACCTACCTACCTAGAATATTGTCAGCTGGCTGGCTGCTGTTTCGGCGTATTTTATGTTGGCGCATCAAGATTAATGAAGAAGAGACAGGATATATCGCTGTGTAGAGCCCAGAGTCAGAAGAATAATGACTGCTTTCGAAATTGATTCGATCTATGGCAGACTAAACAATGCTTTTTGTTAAAGGCGAGGTCGTTATAATGAGCATTAGACCCACACGTACGAGGCTTCTGATTTGGCAACAGCGTCGCACGTGATTGACTTGACTTGAAGGTTACTTTCCATATTCTGAGGGGCTGAATGGCTGACGATGAATAACAAGTTCCTCTTAGACAAAAGAGCCAACAGTTGACGAGTAACTTATCAATTAAGTACCATTCTTTCTAAATCAACAATGGACTAGACTTTGTCAGCCGAATCAATATCGAAAAAGGCATGGTGCCGTAACGAGTCTATAAACTACAAATCCTCTCACTTGTCATTGACTCTTTGACATCGAACGACCACGGTTCATCGCAAAGCAATCGCGGTAGGTCACTTTTATGAAGCCTGTTGCAATCCTATGCACAACTTAACTAATCACTTCAATAGCTTGTTCATTTTGTTTCTCAATTTCCAGATAATGCGATTCACCTCATTCATTTCACTCACCTTTCACGTCTCTTAATACGATTCGTCCCACCAAACAAACCTTGCTACAACTACAGACCAATACCTGAAGAAGCCCCTAGCCAACGCCGCTATGGGAACAGACTTTGGACAGAGCTTCCGTAAAGGAATCGGTATTCGGAAGATAGACGTTGACGAGGGAACCGTCATTGACTCGGTACAGCCGTCAAATACTTTAGCCATGTCAGGTGTCCCAGGCCGGATATCACCTCCTATAACCCCAGACGTCGTTTCGGTTCCTCAGTCACGACAGACATCTATGGAAATAGCCTCTGAGATTGCCCCAGAAATTGTGGTGTGGACTGAGGACATGGATATCGACAATACTAGTCCCGTTGAGTCTGACGATGAACTGTCGAGTCTCAAAAGCGATTTCGAGTGAGTAGTATATTGCACCAGTTCTGTGCACTCACTCAACTGGCCTTGTTTCTCAAACTCCCACATGTTTCTGACTCTAGTTAGGGAAGAACCACACCAGGTCGATGCTGACCCGACCTCGATGCAAACATCCGCTGATGGCGATCCTGTCGATTCTTTCCCCTCTTCATTGTCGAATCTCACAGAGCTATCAGACCTCTCATCGATACCATCGACAGCGTCGAGTAAGGCTACTACCCCTACGCCAGTCGAGGCTGAAGGTCTGCAAGACCAAGAGCAACCAATCGACGAGCAGCCCAGTTCTCACCAACAATCGCCGTCTCATGAGGCTGAACGCTACAATTTCAACATCAAACCAAAGGCCTCAATTCCGACCAATATCTCGCCTTACAGATATGCATCAGAATGCATCTCGGCTGCCGAGTCGAGTCGACTTAACCCTTACGCCCTACATCCAGAGGAATATCTCCTCCTTCGTCATCATATATCTTATACACAGGTCACAACATACCTCAACGTCAGAAATGGTATCTTACGCCTATGGCTTAAGCGTCCCTGGATTGGCGTAACGCGATTAGAAGCAGTTGGATGTGCAAATGCCCGCTGGTTTGACGCAGCCAGTGTTTGCTATGATTGGCTTGTTCGTCGGGGCTATATAAATTACGGGTGCGTGCAGGTACCAGAAACCGAAACAGAAGACAGCATTGCTCCGGTTAGGAGACAGAAGACAATTGCTGTCATCGGTGCTGGAATCTCTGGACTTGGGTGTGCTAGACAGTTGGAGGGCTTATTCAAACAGTTCGCCGATCGGTTTCGCGAGCGAGGTGAGCCGCCGCCTCGTGTCGTTGTGCTTGAAGGGCGAAGCCGCGTTGGAGGAAGAGTATACTCTCGCGAATTCCAAACCAAACCCAAGGAGCCTACGCCAGCCTTTAAAGGCAAGCGGCATACTGCAGAGATGGGCGGTATGATTATAACTGGATTCGATCGGGGAAATCCCATCAACATCCTTCTTCGAGGCCAGCTCAGCCTACCATACCATGCACTGACAGCGGACACTACTATATATGACAGTAACGGAAGGGCAGTTGACCCAGTACGGGATCAACTGGTTGAGAAGCTGTACAATGATTGCCTAGATCGAGTCAGCGAGTACAAACACAAGAACCAGCCAACAAAGCTTATCGAGGGCAGACGGGACCTTATAGAAGAGGGACGAGATAGTCCTGGCGACGGTAGTAAGACCATGTTCCAGGAGGAAGAAGCTGCCGCAGCACAACCAGATGCAGCACCAGTAGCTCAACAAAATGTCCCAGAAAAGGTCAACTTGATACCGGTGTCTTCAGACAAGCTCACTGGTCGTGTACATATGGAGCCTGGAACTCCTGCCACCGTCAAAGCATCCGACAAGGCAAAACTTATGGGATGGACAATTCGAGATTCAGCTGAGGGTGAGAACATCGACTTGGTACCGGCAATAAACGAAGAGGGCGCGACCTTGGGTTCCGTTCTTGACTCCGCCATTTCTCAGTACAAACAAATTGTTGGCCTAAATGCTCAAGATCACCGGCTGATAAACTGGCATGTCGCCAACTTGGAGTACAGTAATGCAACAAGCCTACATAACCTGAGTCTTCCATTGTGGGACATTGATGCGGGTAACGAATGGGAGGGAAGCCACACCATGGTCGTTGGTGGCTACCAGAGTGTTGCTCGTGGATTAGCTCAATGTCCAAGTCCTCTTGATCTAAAGACCAAGTTCCCTGTCAAGAGCATATCCTATCATACTGGCGAGGGTATGGCTTCAGCCGCGATTGAATGTGAGGATGGCTCAGTAGTGGATGCTGATGCTGTTGTCTGCACTATTCCTCTTGGCGTCTTGAAGCAGAGCAACATCGTCTTCAACCCGCCTCTCCCGTCATGGAAGACTGATGTCGTTGAGCGCTTAGGGTTTGGCATATTGAACAAGGTTGTTCTGGTATATGACAAAATTTTCTGGGAGCAAGACAGACACATATTTGGCGTATTGCGGGAGTCGTCAAACCGACACAGTACGTCACAGAAAGATTATGCCACGAGCCGTGGTCGCTTTTTCCAGTGGTTCAATGTTTCCAACACGACAGGCTTGCCATGCCTTATTGCCCTCATGGCTGGCGAAGCAGGCTTCGAGACCGAGCACTCCAGTAATGATAGTCTTGTGGCCGAGGCAACAGAGGTGCTCCGTCGTGTCTTTGGCAAGGACGTTCCTTATCCAGTAGAGGCTATGGTCACTCGATGGGGCTCGGATCGTTTTGCTCGGGGAAGTTATTCGTCTGCTGCTCCAGGTATGCAGCCTGAGGATTACGACGTTATGGCACGGCCTGTTGGGAACCTTTTCTTCGCAGGTGAACATACTATCGGCACACATCCAGCTACAGTACACGGCGCCTACCTGTCTGGCTTAAGAGCAGCTTCAGAAGTGTTGGAGGCTCTGATAGGACCTGTTGAGGTTCCAACCCCTTTGATCCTACCCAGGGATTCTGTACTGCTACGCAAGCGTAAGGAGCCTGCCAGAGACCTAAAACCGGCACGGCTAGAGGCCTACGAACAGGAGATACAGGCTCACATTCATGCGAAAATTGGAGAACGGCCCTCTCGTCCGGCCAAGGTGGCCAGCAACCCGTATATTCTTTACAGCAGGGATTTATTTGATGTCGCACGGAAGAGGTGTGAAGAGAACCGAAAACCCGGAAGAGGCGGTCGTGCTGTGCCCAACGAAGTTCGCATTATGACATCAACGATGTGGAAGGAGGCTACACCTGAAGAGCGTAAGCCGTACGAGGATCAGGCAACTGAAATGAAACAAGGCTACGCTGAAGCTGTACAAGCCTGGAATCAAGCTACCAAAAAATGGGATCAAGAGTCTGCCGCTCTGAGAGCAGCTTATGAGAAAGAGAACCCATTCGATGCTTACAAAATGCAAATGGAAGATTTGCCTTGCGAGGCATCATATAAGCAGCGTCGGACAAGGAACATCAGTTATGCGGAGGACGGCGAAAGCGATGCTGGGTTCTAATGACTATATTATAGGCGGCGTACATTTCTTTGGTTGGGGTTTTCCATGGGCGCACGGGTTTATCGCATCGTCTGTTTTTTATCATGGCGCTCGCTCTTTCTTGAGGTCATACAACCTAGATATATGGGTGCTCGGCGTTATGCACAAAGAGGCGTTCATCGGGTCCATCATTCAGTCAATTCACATAAATATAATGTTACTATAACGCTAAGCGTCACTCTTACAAGCTTCCTGGCATCGCTACTTATTCTCTTTTTTAGATTACCATACATATCGACTTTATGGGCTACTAAGGAATTTATTGAAGCTTTGATACAATGAAGGAGACCATGCGAGGATGGTGACCCGTTGGCATTTGTTACAAAGGGAAGCATTACACCCCGACTTGTACTCCCACTCCTTACATGTCCGCAGAGGCAGTAGCACCAGTGATAATCTCGACCAGCTCTCCGGTAATGACAGCCTGTCGTGTACGGTTGAAAAGAATCTGGTACTTGTTGATCATCTCACCGGCGTTCTTGGAGGCGTTCTGCGGGAATTATCAGTAATGGTCAACATGATTGGATTTTCAATTATACTCACATCCATAGCGTTTCGTCGGGCAGACTGCTCGCAGGCGTGACCCTCAGCAAGGGCCCAGTAGAGAGAGTTGGCAAGACCGTACTCGCGGAGGTTGCCAAGAACCTCGTCGTCAACCTCGAAAGCGGAGAAGTTGGCTAAAATTTGAGAATTAGACATTATCTCAACAACATCATATCTGGGACAACTCACGGGACTGCTGGATAGCCTCCTCAGAAAATGCCTCAATCATAGAAGCCTCGTAGGTCTGAGCATTGACGAAGCTGTTGTACAGGATCTTGACATCAGTGTACTCAGTGGGGAGCTGGATGACCTGGTCGGCAATGGCCTGGGCGTCGGCAAAGGTGGGAACACCCTTTCCGATACCAGCGAAGGTGAGCTGGATAGCCTTGGCGTTGGTTCGGGAGAGCTGAGCCTTGGCCTTCTCGCCAATAAGGACGAGGTCGAAGGTCTCACCCTGGGCAGAGAGTCGGCGGACGTATCGGGACAGACCAGAGTGAATACCACCGCAAAGACCCTTATCGGAAGAGCAGACAATGATGAGCTTCTTCTTGTCCTCGGTCTCGACAGCCTTGGTCTCGGCAGACTCGTAAACCTCGTTAGAGGTCTGTCCGTAGGTGCGGGAGTCGTTCATGGCGCGCTGAGCTCGGTTGAGCTTGGTGGAGGCGACAATCTTCATGGTGTTTGTGATCTTCTCGATGTTTCGGATAGACTTGAGACGGTCCTCGATCTCACGGAGAGTCGCATAGGTAGCAGCGGTGCTGGGGACGGCAGTGGCCCTGGAAGCGCGAAAAAGGACGTCATCAGCATTTTCCTTCTCTTTTTTTCGGTGGTTATGTTTTTTGGTAATTATCGACTATTCCCCTCGAAGCACATAGTTGCATCTTGAAATATTATTTCGATCGGGTAACGGGCGTATGGTTTGTTGTGGTTATGACCGAGCGTCGGAGCTGAAGAGCTCATCTCATCCGGCGAACAAATTCTTGAAGTTCCCGACACCCGGAAGAGCCACTAAGATACTCCAAAGGGGAGGGATGTGAGGAGAAACTTACCGAGCATTAGCTGCAACAGCAGCTCGGAGAGCTGGTCTGGCGGCTCGCGACAACATCTTGACTGAGGATTGGGGACGTAGAGAAAGAGCCTCTGCCAACGGTGGCCCAATTGATCGTGGTATACGGATCAATTGATAGAGATGGGGTCGTGTAAGGTCGGAATGAGGTGTATAGGTTGCTGCGGACTAAAGTGTTCAGGTTTGCTCTTCGCTATTTTCCCGGGTAAATTAGGTAGCCGACCGGAACTTCTAGGCGCTCGACATTCACCCACTATAAGCTGTTGGTCTGCCAACTTTCTTCAGAACACGTGATCTCACCATCAGCTCCACTTTTGCTGCATGTATGACTAAGGCAAGCAAAAGGCTCTTGGCCCAGTTTTCATCCTCTCGCAGCCATCACCCCTTCATCCAATCATACCTTAAACTTTCCTTTCTAGCCCTATCGCTGAGTCGCTGCATCTCTGCGTTACCAAGGCCTGAACCACTGAGAGTAAGCCCTGCAGTGCCCACCTCACTGCGCTGTGCCTGTCTGCCACTGCCTTGCCTGGGTCCTGCAGCTAGGCCTCTCTCGCCTCGCCTTCCCCCGTCGCCGGGTCCAGGTCATTTGTCTTGGCTTAAAGAAACAAGCACGCCGCTCTCTTGACTTATTCCTCCCAATCCCATTGTTGCTGATTTTCTTCTCCCAGCTTCTTGCGAAATCTTCAAAATACACCCTCATCTCCTACACAAGGCGTTGAGGGGATCTTTTCCTCGCGCTTTCTCTTCCGATATCTCGTTTTTCTATCGCCTACAAAGACCTACTCTTCCTTCTCCTACGCTTTCACTTTTCAGATCCCAGTCCCTGACCTCATCGCACGTTGGTAGGCGGACAGCCGCAGAACGGATACTCGCTTTCAACCACACAACCATGAGCTCCTCCGACGACGATCGCCCTCTTGCGAAGGCTAATGGCCATCGACGTAAGTCGCGCTCTATTTCCCAATTCCTTGCTACATTGATGGTGCATTTTCGCGCTCATGGATACCATGAGAAGGCGTTCAAAACAAAGTTTCTCCCAATCAACTAGCTGCCTCTGCCACCATGTCGCATACTTTTGCTGTTCCTTATTTGATCTAACAAAACACCTTCTTATAGTCTCAGCGGCAAAGATTTCACGCGCCGAGGACAATGCCATGGCTCAGCCAGTTCCAAAGGAAGCCGCCAAAATGGCTGGCCTCTCAGTCCGCAACGGTCCCCTAGAAGACACGATGGACATCGATGAGCCAGCTGCCAATGGTACAACGAAACGCAAATCACGTAATTCCATCACCAAGGTCAACTACAAGGACGATGAGTCAAGCGACGAAGGTGCTCCAATGGTCAGTATTTCATGATACGAGAAAAACCTTGTTGTGGGGCCAGCTTATGCTGACCATGATGTTGCAGGCCAAACGCCAGAAGAAACAGACAAACAAGATTGCCGAATCCGATTCCGATGACGAGCCGATGGTGAAGGCACGAGGAAAGAAGCTTCCACCGTCTTACAAGGAGACCGCGCTTCCCGAGTCCTCAGACGACGATGACGAGCCTCTTGGTGTGAAGCTCGCGCAGAAGAAGGCCAACATTGAGAAGAAGGCCGAGAAGGAAGCTAAGGCGATTCGAGCCAAGGAGCGAGCCAAGAAACCTACACCCAAGAAGGCTATCAAGGATGAATCTGACGACGACGACGTGCCCCTTGCGAGATCCACTGCGACCAAACGACAAACAAACGGAGCCGCTGCGAAGCGAAAGTCAAATGGCGTTAAGAAGGAAGAATCAGACTCTGATGCTCCTATTTCCAAGAAGGCTAGACCTGCTACTGCCAAGAAGAGTGCGAAGGCGGAGTCCAAAAAGGCAAGTGAGAGTGATGGTGAAGAAGAATTCGAGTGGTGGAACGCGCCCAAGAAGGAAGACGATTCTATCAAGTGGTCCACTCTGGAGCACAATGGTGTTCTGTTCCCACCTGACTATGAGCCATTGCCTAAGAGCGTCAAGATGCTCTATGACGGACAGCCGGTTACTCTTGCGCCCGAGGTTGAAGAGGTTGCCACTTTCTGGGTTGCTATGATGACAACTGCATCGATCCATCATCTCGAGAACCCAGTTTTCCGAAAGAACTTTTTCGACGATTTCAAGGTCTACTGCGACAAGTACGGTGTAACAGATGCTCAGGGTAAGAAAGTCGCTGTCAAGTCACTTGATAAGTGCAACTTTGACAAGATCAACGACTACTGGACCAAGAAGATAGAACAGAACAAGACCAAGAACATGACCAAGGAAGAGAAAGAGGCTGCCAAGGCCAAGAAGGACGCCCTCGAGGCCCCTTTTACCCATTGTATATGGGACGGCAGAAAGGAGAAGGTCGGCAACTTCAGAGTCGAACCTCCAAGTCTATTCCGTGGTCGTGGTGAACATCCCAAGACTGGCAAAGTCAAACAACGTGTTCAACCGGAGCAGATTACCATCAACATTGGCAAGGGCGCCAAGGTTCCAGAGCCTCCCAAGGGTCATCAGTGGAAGGCTGTGCAGCACGATCAAAAGGCAACCTGGCTAGCCATGTGGCAAGAGAACATTAACCAGAACTACAAGTATGTCATGCTTGGAGCGGACAGTGCTATCAAAGGTCAAAGTGATTTCAAGAAGTTCGAGAAGGCTCGAGAGCTCAAGAAGTACATTGACAAGATCCGCAAGGACTACACCAAGGAGCTCAAGAGCGAGGTAATGGCTGATCGACAGCGAGCCACCGCCATGTATTTCATCGACAGATTGGCTCTCCGAGCTGGAAACGAGAAGGATACAGAAAACGAGGCCGATACAGTGGGTTGCTGCTCTCTCAAGTACGAGCATGTCACACTTGAACCTCCCAACAAGGTCACGTTCGATTTCCTTGGAAAAGATAGTATTCCCTACAGAGAGACTGCTATTGTAGACGCCCAGGTTTTCAAAAATCTGAAGCTCTTCAAAAAGGCACCCAAGACATCGGGTGATGATCTTTTTGACCGTCTCACTGTAAGTTATTGAAACATCTCAAGCAGCTATCAACTAACACAATTGCAGACCTCTCAACTCAACAAGCATTTGACCAGCTATATGAAGGGACTAACTGCTAAGGTTTTCCGTACCTACAACGCCTCCTTCACAATGTCGACTCTGCTCAACAAGCTTGCTAGTGACCCTCGCTCTCGCGGTACGGCTGCAGAGAAGGTGAAGCTGTACAACGATTGCAACCGTGAAGTTGCTATTCTGTGTAACCACAAGCGAACCGTTGGCGCCTCTCACGAGCAACAAATGGCCAAGCTAGGTGACAGGGTAAGTTTGACGCGCATTAGTTTAATCCTACAGCGTACTAACTACTTTTTAGATTAAAGGCCTCCGATACCAGCAATGGCGTACCAAGATGATGATACTTGACATTGACTCGAGCTACAAGAAGAAGAAGGGCGCCGCCTGGTTCGAGAAGGATGAGGAGCTGAATGATGAGTGGATCAAAGATCACCAGCAGTTCTTGCTCGAGGAACAGCGCACAAAGATCCAGAAGAAGTTCGAGAAGGACAATGAAAAGCGCAAGGCTGACAAGGAGAAGCCCCTACCTGAGAAGGAGCTCAAGGAGCGACTCCAGGCTGTGAAGGAAATGGAAGCCAAGTTCAAGAAGGAGAACAAGACCAAGAAGGTTGAGGCTGAGGGCCGAGGCGCTACCGTTGACAAGTTTCTCAAGGCTGTGGACAAGTTCGATGAGCGCATCAAGACGCTTGAGCTCCAGGCCCAGGATCGTGATGGTAACAAGGAGGTAGCTCTCGGCACCTCCAAGATCGTGAGTTTTCTAAACACCCAATCTACTGCGTTGCGGCATACTAACCATTGATAACAGAATTATATTGATCCTCGTCTCACTGTCGTCTTCTCCAAGAAGTTTGATGTCCCAATCGAAAAGTTCTTCTCCAAGACGCTTCGGGACAAGTTCCGATGGGCGATCAAGTCTGTTGAGGACGAAGATGATTGGACTTTCTAAATCATCGTGAGAAGGGTCGGCGTACAAAAAGAGAAAAGCGGGTGGCTTTCGGGTTCTTTGCTTTTACTTTACTAATTTGCTATTTTCTGGAACGTTTTGTAAGAATACTCAATCAGTGCTTTCAATATGAGCAAAGAGGAAGAGGGAGGTGTAACGTCGATGATGGGCTCATAAATAGAGGCGTAAGCTCGTCATGCATATGCGTGCTTACGAAGGAGGGTGAAACGGACAGGGCGACGGACTACTAGGCGCCGAGATGGGTTATCTGGAGCATCTGGGTACAGGAGATTTGGGCGGCAGAGGCTTTGTTCTTTAGATACATATATAGAAACACTACGCGTGTACCAAGGGGTTGAGCTCATGCTAAGGTTTGCTCAGTGCGCCTCTCAGCAGAAGAATACGTCAGCTCGGCTCTGGGGAAAATTCGATTACTATATATGCATTTTCATGTGTTAGTGTAGGTGATATGTAGGCAACAGTTGTGAATACAAATTGGTGAAGCAACAAGTTCATGGGATCACACAGTTACTGGTTGATTGTACAAAGGTATTATTCTATCTATAGTTTATATCTATATAATTCGTGCATCCTCTTTGTTGCCCGAGTCCATTGCGCCGTCGCTAAAAGCAAACAAATCAAGAAATCAAGAATACACGCGAGTGTAAATGCTATATGCCAGTATTGTGCAGTAACGCCAACCAACCGTATCATGCAAATCAGGTATCACATCCAATCCTGGTAATGTCCCTGAAACTTTGTACGTCTATGTCTTGCCAATGTATAGGGACTCAGCCCTTTGTAATATCTCGAATCATCATCATATACAGCGAGAGGTTCTTTCTTAGATGAACCTTCCGGCAAAAGCCATGATGCCAGCGAAGAAGGGGATAACAGCGATAAGGCTGTGGAAGGGTTGAAGGGAGCTCATGGCGCTGTTCTCAGCTGGAATGATCTTTCCTTCGGCGTTGAGGCGCCATCCTTCAGGGATAGCACCGCCAGAAGGACGAGAGCCAGTCCAAGGCCATCCGGTCTGTGTAGCCGTGGCGGGACTTCCATCCTCTCCGATACCTCCAATAGGGACGTTGTCGTTCTGTGTGGCAACAGTTCCCTGGGCAGTAGCAGTGACGGTCATGGCATCACCGTTCTCGTTGCCATTGACAGAGCCGCCGATAGCTTCGATGGATTGCCATGAACCGGATGTGTCCTTGTACTTGTACTCATCGCCAGTAGAGTAGTCTGTGATGATGACGCTCTTGACCTTCATCGTGAAAGGACCCTTGGAATAGTCCGTCGGTCCACGAGCCCATTTGACGGTTCCAGGTGGGTTCGTGTTGGGATCGCCACCAGCCCAAGCTCCAAACTTGACTTGCATTGGGGTTTGAGGGTATTGGTTGTCGGGTGCATCTCCAGAGTTGAGGGTGCGGACGACGGTGCCGCCAACCATCCAGACAATGCGGTCCTTATTCCAATCAATAGTATACGTGGTCCATTCACCCTGTGTGTTGGTGACATCGTGGAACTCGCCACGGTTGTATGAAGTAGTCTGACCTTTTCCAAAGTAATTGGACTGGATCTCGTCGTTGTCGGAACCAAGCCACTCAATGTCGATCTCGTCAAGCACGTCGGACTGAAGAACGAGCGATGAGACGATACCAGCGCCGGGAGCAGCCTTCATTGTAATCTCGACACGGCCGAACATGATGTAGAAGAGGGAAGCGAGCTGAGGCGCATCGTTGGCGCGGGCAACAGTGAAGGAGACACCCTCGTCGTCGTACTTTGGAGAACCGGAGGCTGCGAAAGAGTTTACGGCGCCTTTGGAGAAGTCGATGTCGATGCTCATACCCAGCGCATCATCATTGGGACAAGTGTCTATGGAGAAGTTGTCAGTATGCGATGGGGTCGGTGTATAGCGTGGTATTGGACTTACTGCTATGTAGGGGATTGCATGAACTCCATGTTTGGGCTGAGACAGAGCTAAGGAGCAGCGCAGTAGCTGCGAATGAGGATTTGGATGGCCATCTCATAATGAGCTATATGTGATGCGGTGTGATATGTATGTACAGTGGGAACGGGAGTGGGAGTAGATAGATAGTCGTCGATACACGCAAGCAGTAGTGGTGTGATTTACTTATATCGGAGTATTTGCTATAGACTCGACTCGACTATACTCGACTTGACGGTGTAAGGTAGCAGTAACACGAAAAGCGGTGACTAGAGTCTTAAAGTGTTTGCATGAGATAATAATAAAAAGAGGACTTGTACTGTAGGAGGGAAAAGCAGAATTAAACGGTGAGAAATGAATTAATACCCAAGACTCGACACGTCACGTCACAACCACGCTCCGTCACCGTCTAAACGTTGGCCGGTTTTCCGGTTTTTCTCGTTAATTCTCTTGGGCTTGCCGCGTAATGAATTAATTGGTCCCCATTAAGTTTTTCCTCTTCCAAGTAACTTGGCGCCCAAGAATTAACTACTAAAGAAATTGAGGGGAGGTTGGGGATGCTTTTCTTGGTTACGAGTCCGTGTGGTTGGAGGTTGGTAACTACGGTAATTCGGGTGGCTGGAGGCTTGGTCTAGTCTAGTCAGGTACGGGTAATGAAAGACAATAAAAACTAGACAACTACAATCACAATTACAATTGGGTATTGATAAAGACACTATGGGAATTCTGCAACCTGATAAAATCTAGCATGGATATTTCCCATTCATCTTAACAGTTGTTCTACAGCAGTATCCATCGATTACAATACAATGCCTTGTTTTCACCGCTTCTATAGAGGGGTCTGTTCTGTCATGCCGAGTTTTATTGTCAGCCGATCTGACAGGCTACGGCCCGTGTGGGGCCGTTTATCTGCTTCGGAACCCCGATGCCGGCCGATTAGCTGCTGGTTACCCTATACCATGACAAGATTGAATAACGATGGTTCTGTAACTTGAGGTTTTACACAACTCATGAATCCCAGAGTATTCAATGGTACTAGTGCTACATTTGTATTCAATGTTGACTGTTACTAAGCTGTGCCGTCTAAACTTCCAATAATTTCCCGAGTAAAGTGCAACTCAATCAGAGCATTCTCACCAACATGAGCACTTGTCTGTTGAAAACACCAACTATCAACATCGCAACAGTACATCAACTTCACCTAGTTACGAGCTCTACCACCTGACCTATATGAGATTAAATATACTATCTAGTAGTATCAATCATCCCCAACCAATAATATTTATACAGTTGTCAAATACTATCGAGTGTTAAGACTCATCCAAACACTCGTCGCATGAATCTCGATCCTCGTAATGGCATGCAACAAAACCATCCCTTACTCGAGATCTATATGCACGTCACTTAATCAAGATCGATCAAAGGCCAATCTGTGTGTGCCAGACTGGTATGTTAGGGCTGGATCTATTGGTTCTAAGACATATCTCTCAAACACTCACCCTTGCATAGCTCTCTATGTAAGACTATGGCCTCTTGGAAGCCTCAACACAGACACTTACACGTGTATTTAGACCATGTCTGACATCAACCCTTGCTTTAACAGAAGGAAAAGGCTAACGTTAGATTCGTGAACCTCCATGCCATCTATCTCTACGATTACTGGAATGGAGACAAATCATGCATGACGGATGAGTGTACCCTATACCGACCACAATCGCGATTGGAGATACACAATACTCAGCGACAGGCAAATGAGCAAGAAACAACTACGCAATTGCAAGTAGGGAATAAAAATACGAAAAGAAGGAACATAAAAAAATGGAGCAATAAAGGAAAAAAAAAAGTGATCGCTCAAAGCCGAGGACAAATACCCGTCAGACTAGAGAAAGAAGCAACGAAATATGCAGGTGAGAGTCAAGAAAAGACGTGTACCAAAAGAAGAAAAACTCCATTACAGCGCCACTCCCCAAAAAGCATTCAAGGGCTGATAGATGATCAATTCCAAGTATTAGACTAAGATGCTGTATGTATATGCAGTCTATTATGCGTCTGTTATGGAGCACATGACAGCAACAAACGCACTTTTGCCCTCGCATTGGACTCGGTCTTGTCAGGTAAATGCAGATGCAGACGCAGATGCAGGCCCCAAATCTGATTAACGACGTGTCGGTCAGACACAGACAATGACAATGCATCCAATCGGCATCTGCGAAGTCGCCGCGAAACCTTTGAAAAACTCTATCATTGATCCCTCACAGGCTGACTCGACTGTATGTACCGTGCTCTGATCCATCCATCAGCAAAGAGAGGCGACAAACCGTCGGTCTGCAGGCATAACTTCGGCCGGCTGCCGTGCCTCGACACAGCAGGGCGATGAGGCCATTCGGGACTCTTTGTTTCCTCTACCGCTCATTCAACAATAGTGGCATTAACAGTTGATTCCCCACCCTCTCTCTGTCTCTGTCTCTGTCTCTGATTGTCCAAAGTTCTCGAACCCCCAGATAGATGCCCTAACCCCACAAAGTCCTGCTCTCTGACATAGTAGGTGGAACTGCAAACACAGAACCGCTTGGCTGAGTGTCACAGTGTATCCTATCCGACAACCCAGCAGCCGAATTCCTCTGTAAAAATAGGTTGATGGGTATGTAATATGTGAACGGACTATTTGCTGTCCGCATAGACACCCCCTCTCGTCTGAGGACAACTCTACTGCTCTGATTTGAATCTTTGACGTCAAACACGGACATGTGCAGTGTGTTTCAGATAACTATCCACTGGGATACCTCAAACGTCTCTCTTTGTATACTTCTGATTGGATCGATCGTTTCATCTTCAGCTGAGCATATTAAAAAAAAAACTGCATATCGGATGAAAGGTCTAAGCCTCGTGTCTTGTGTCACGTTGCGTTGCGTAGCTTGTTCCTAACGACTGGCAGCCACTAAACAGTCTGGTAATTTAACACCTCACTTTCAGGTATGGAAAGCGTTTGATGCACCAGTCCGTGTTCACTTCAACCAGTCAGTAAGCTCTTGCTTGAATAGGACATGATACGTCGTCTTCAAAATCCTTTGTTGCCTCTCACGTTGTCGCCCAATCAGACGAGACGTGTAAGTTGCATAGTCATGGAATGGGACGACTGGCCCGCATAGACACAGACATATGTAGGTAGATAGGTCAAGTGTAATAAATCATAACACATTTATTTTCATGATATATTATCGACTTCTGACAATACTTGCTTGATTGAGTAAAAAAAAAAAAAAAAAGAAAAAAAAAAAAAGAAAACAAGGCTAAACAGGGTTAGAGGAGGGAAGAGACGACAAAAACATGATTCAGAGAAAAGAAGAGCAAAAACAAAAGCAAAACCTGATGCATATTCAAAAGAGGCAAGACGACAATGACAACAACCTGTTGGTGTGTCAAGTAAAGTCAAGTCAGGCCTAAGCAGACAGCCAGACCAGATCTGATCAGATCAGATCAGATCTAACAGGCAAGCAAACACCGCTTATTTTCTGCTTGCTTGCTTGCTTGCTCTGCAAATCAAAGCAAAGGCAAGCCATAACTGAGTACGGCATTAATTAGTTACTGGCAAACGGTGAACGGGTGGGCTCGATGGTAACCTAATGGCGAGTCACAATTAGATAGACCCTTATGCCGAAATGACACACCGTCTATCTGTTGCTTCCCTCTATTAATTATCATCAAACCTACCTAGTCCATGTTTGCTCTCAGACTTTGCGGACCGCGCCTCGCCTCGCCTCGCATCGCATGGGCGGGCTGGTCCGGAGCTGCCGTACATAGTACCCATCAACAGGCAAGACGAGACAAGCGATGATGGAGATGGCGATGATAAAGTCGTTACCGCATGTACGTAACAAAGCCGAGGCATGTCAGGTCGTCTGTGACCGCCTGCAAGTCATCATGCCATTCTGATGAACTGCTCGGGTTTCGCCAGAATGGTTCGAATTACACCGTCGTATTGAGCATCCGCTTTGTCTCGAAGAGCCTGGCACAATTGCTCCCAAAAGCCCCATACGTACCCGTAGACCAGTACCAGTACTGGGTATGGCATGAACGCATAGACGCATAAGACAGAGAGCAGGGGTGGCTCGGGACGGTAAGCATCCTATCAACCCCGTACCTGAGACATGTATACTGTACTGTGTGTGCGGTGTCGAGTTGAAGAAAACTTTGCAATCAAGAGTCTCTTCTCACTTTTCCTGTGCCCACGGACCATACAGGCCGTGGTAGCGAAAGCATCAACCCTTGAGCGTGGAACCGACTGGCGAGATAATTTCTTTTTTCCTTCCAATCGTCGGTAGTTATCACATGGAGCTTAATACCGAACGAACTGCTCTAACATTCCTTGTTAATCGCTTCTGCATCTTGCTGTTACCGCAACTCAAGTTTGGGGTTGTAGCTGTAGCTGTAGCTGTAAGTATCATGTGTAGGATCTTCTGGCAATAGCAGTAGCTCACCGCATAATTACGGACCCTCCCCAGCTGCGACAATGAACGAGCGATCAGAGTGAGGCTGCATACCAACAAGAAGCAACCGTTGGTCGCAGTCCGAGCGATTCATGATCGACATGCAGGCAGACTAACGAGAGACGGCAGCAGCAACGCCCACCAACTGTTGTTGTTGTTCGGTTTGCAGGAACCAAAATCAGCTGCCCGTACTTTGTTGCTTTGGCAAGCCTGGACAGATATGAGCTCGGGCCATAGTACCGTCCTGTTCGTCAATACAAGTTTGAGGTAGAAATACAAGGACAGAGGGGGACTGTCGTCCAATGTTGGTAAGTGATACGCAGTAATGAGAATGACATTGACGCACGGAGCTCAATGTCAACACCCGCTCACAAAGTTCTTGACATATCCCACGTGGGTTGACAGTTTTATTCAATCGGGAGTTAGCAGAAGGAAGACCGTGCATTGATTGATTGCCCTTATCAAGATCGACAAAGAATCATGGCCAGCGGCATGATAGTTACATGTTGGCACTGCTGCACTGATAGTTGCTTTTGTCGACACTAGCATCTCGTACCAATACCCTGCAACAACGAACAACGACTCTTAAGGCAAAAGCAATAGCTAGCCGTTGCATTTGAGGCTTACAATGCCATCTGGTGGGACAGTCTCATACTGTATGTAGAATGAAGAGTTTGACTCGCGTGCAGCATCGCGGTACAAGCGCAAAAAGAGGTCCCTAGAATTCCACCCAATGGATCGTCAACATGGATGGGTTGACAGCCACCTTCTCAAATAATAGAGCATGATCTCGCGCTATGCTGGGGGGCCAATTTGAAACCTTCGAGAAGTCCCAAGGACATGGTCGGCGGAATGCCAGTTGGCCTGGACAAGGGATGCCGTTTAGCGTTGGTCCAGGATGCTATTCTACCAGGGTGCCCTGGCTTCGAGCTGATTTCGACGTGCGTCCACATGGCTAGCCCGTTATTTCATCTTTGAGCATCGCAGTCTTGTGTTGATTGACTCGTGGAGCGGCGAGCGGATCATTCGTAGCTCTGCTACTATCGTTGCGCTTAAGCTCGGATGAGGACTGTAGCATCGTTGCTAGATAGATGCGGAAACTGCATGTGCATCTATCTACATGCGGAAAACCCCAAGCATTCCTAAATCCTGTGCCTGTGGATTAGACATGGTGGCCCCCCAGTAATTCTCATGCCTATGCATGAACGCATTGTCGGGTTATCCGTTTTCTGGGGACGACACATCTGATCGAGTTTCGACTTCGTCTTTGGACTGTATCGTATGCAACATGGGCAAAATGCCTCAAGCTAAGCACACGGATACTGGTGGAAGCGGTTTGCCACGACGACACCACCCAACTATTCAACAACAAAACGAGTCAATGAAGTCAATGCTGGCTATTCATCCAGCTGAACCATTGATTCCGCTGCGGCTGATTGACACGGAACCGAGAGACATTTTAGGACTGGCAAACACGAGCTAAATCATGCCCAGGTCAGATTCAGACGTCCTACGTATCTGAGAGGCGATCTTCCAGAATCATGCCAAAAATTAGGGTCCATGCTGAGCAACTGGTCCATCTGTTCGCTCGAGAACTGTATTGGACCGGGCTAAAATCCGGGGAGCATCCTAAGGACCGGAGGGCCAGGATTTTTATAGCCTAAGTCCCGGAAGACCTTGCACTTGAGTCTGGCTGACCACACGGCTACGCATCCGGGCCGTTGTCAAATCTCCAACAAGCCCCGCCGCTCCATTTTGAAACAGGGGATACCCCTGGCCTGACTAGCTGTTGGAAGGACCCCTGCTCGACCTTCCATCAGGGTCCCATCTTGTCCTTGATCCAGGTAGCCAGGCCCAGGTAAAGCCAAGCATTTCGCTTCCGAGAGACGCTGTGCCGGGACCTTATGATGGTCCAGACAGATGAGACCAGAGGTGCAATTTTGAGTGGTAATATCGACTGTAGCCCCAAATTGACTGGGCAGCTCGAGATGCCCATTGTTAATCCCAAAGGGCCATGGCAGTAGGGAACGAGCAGCTCAGAAAGAATTCTAGAAAGAGAGGAGGGAGACGAGAAAAAGGTGATGCTCGTGCGTGAACTCTGGTATCCGCGGACGCGGATTCAGATTCCCCAGACAATTGGTCTGGGGGTACATGCACGTTGGCTGTACGTTGGTACGTCGGTAGAATCAACTGAACCACCACGTTGGATCCTCTTTGCCTCGCAAAACCAGTTAGCCTTCGACCGCGGATCTTTTGGTGAGATTCGGCCAAGCTCTGCATGTACATGTATACGTACCTACCTACCACATGTTACTGTGCCGGGGATGTGCGCAGCCGGCTCCGCGAGGCCCAAGCCTGACACTAACAGCGCGATGGAGCTGTCTATGCCCTCAATGTTCAGGGCCAATGCCATCCTGTGGTATCTGCGCGACGGCGGTGTCGATAGCTTCAGAGCACGTTCACAAAGTCTTACGAGGTGGAGGGAAGTCGCAAGAGACCCGCGAAGAGGATCAGTGGAGTTGATGACCAAAGTTAGGTAGCCAGGCGGCCGAATGGATAAGAAGTATTTCGTTTCCAATACGAAGTGACGATTCATTGCCACCGGCCCGTTGATCTTAGTAGGCAGTCGACATGAATTATTGTTTGTGGTTGCAATAATGATCCTGCCGAGCTGTTTTCCCAGCGGATCGTCATTGTCCAACCTCTAGGTACTGGGGTTTGAGGGAAATGATCCGACTGTAAACAGTACTGCATGTGTGGTGACAGACTATCATCTTCTGGTGTGACCAGTCTGTTGGTGCTCATTCCAAATTGTGATATGTACAGAGTATTGATATGCGATAGCTGTGAGCAAACAGCGTGCATCCAGGTTCAAGTCCACATCCAACAAGTATGTTTGCGGCCCAATACATGTGACAAACAAACTTGTTATAAAATGATTTATTTCTTATGAGGCGGCAACGGCTGGGCGTTCCTGTTCCTGCATAACGGCGGCGTTCGCTTCTTGCAGGCCCTGGCCTCTGTATGTAGCTTTCTGCAGCAGACTGGAACGTTGTTATGCAAGGTACGCAGCCCAAGTTGCCACACGTTACGTTCTTATGACTGGACGAGGGGGTCGCTTTACTAACTAACATCAGTCAGCCCAACACCACTAGTTAAGCCTGAGTTTCCTGGGCTGTCGATGGGGTCTCTGTCGCCCCAGAGAAGAGCAAAGCTGGAGGTGACTTTCAATGGTTCCAGTTACCTCATGATACATTCATGTCCTGTGACACATAAAGAGAGCAGTGACAATATGGGGAAATGATTTAAAAATATGAGCCGAGCTAATTGAACAATTATTGTGCGACCAATGAGTAGGTAGGTTCCTATCGTTGTGTTCAGTATTTATGGTCTCTTGGTATGATGGTATTTTCTGTTGGCGTTAGTTTAAACGATGGATAGTTTGTGTGTAGGCGACTTGTGGTCGAAAAAGTTTTCCTCAGTAATAGTTATCAATAGAATCTCGCCGCCGTCTCGCCTAGAGGGAAACCGAAGTCTCGGTATCCGTAACTGAGAAAAGGATACGAAAAATAAAGAGACAACTGCCCAGGTGTAGATATTGGAGAGCTGATTGAGCTATTTCGTCTTATCTGCTCTAGATTTTCACTGCCGCAAGGCTCGCCTAACATCCTAGCGTGACTATGACCGTATGAGAACAGTGATCCGTCTTTGAGACGCACGTACGGGCGCTCGAATGCATAAGCACCAGCACAAGTCCAAACGCAGGGGCACAACTCCGAGTCCATGTCAGGACTAAAAGGACGGGAGGATGGATCGAGCGATGGATTTCGTGTGCGTGTGTGAGCTTAGGTGCTTGTGCATATGTGGCTTGCATCAGGAAATGAGATGTCGATTTGTGCCTTGTTTGTGCGTTGAGTCGTGTTCAATGTGCTCGTTTGAGCCATCGCCCCACACGCTATTCCATAATGTGCTGCTCGTATGCATTGTTCCTGGCTAATGCAACCCCAAAGTATAATACTAGCACTACAAGTAGAAACAGCAGCTTTATGCATCAGCTAGGGTTTCAGGTTTGAGGTAGTCCCTTTGTTGACCAATGGGACTCAGCCCGGGCCATTTTAGGCTGGTATATATGAACGGCCACAATTCGGTCATGTCCTTCATAACGGGCATGGCTTATGACTATCAGATATCCACTTTACTCACCATCTGTAACGTCGTGTCTGAAAGAGAAAATGGTCAAGTGTAGTGGGCCGAACCGCCATCCGCAAGACTTGAGTCTGATAATGAGGCGGAAACTAGAAACATTCGTACATTGTATTGTTGGAAACATCGTTCAGCTCAGCTCTAAAAGTTCGAGACGGAGATGGAGGGTCGGATCATGTCATGCTGCAGATTTGGTAACGCTAAGACTGAGCGTGCGTCAGAGTACACGAGTCGAAGCATGTATTGAAAGTTGAAGTGTTTCATCTGTCAATGACGAGTTTGAAGATTGATGGTCCCTTGCCGAGACTCTTTGGACCTTCTGGAACATCGACCTTCTGAGCGAAGCCACTTCTGGGGCGGGCAATTGTATGGCCCGGTGTCAATCCTCGGCCATTGAGCCCATTGTGAACAAAAAGACAATTAGTCCGTTTGGAGCCGGTTCTCTTCGGTGACATTTCCGTCCTGAGCCAGGCCTTCTAGAGTATTGGAAACCATGTATGTGCCAACAAGGTGATTGTTGCCAATAGTCGGTTACTACGTAATGCCTGCTCTCACAGAGAAGGGCTCAGATTACTGCTCGGTTGCGGCTTTGATGCCAGATGGGTCAATCCTCAAGAGATATCGCTGAAGAGATCCATATCATTGATGTTAGGTCCTACATGAAAGAAACCCTGGTCCTAGCCTCCCGTTGGTCCTAGTTGAGCATTTACTGTGACGCCAGCCAAGTGATGTATGATAGCGGCAAGTGGCGGTACACAGTGTTCAGTGTCTTGCGTGGATGCTGTCATTATTGAACCCGGACAGACCCTGGAAAGGTAGATGGAAGTTGGGATGACAGCAACTCAGACACGAGGCAAAAGCACAGGGTATCAAAGCGCGTTGTAGTGTATTTCGGAATATCGTCGTGGGACCGTCCGTGTTAGTGCAGATCTCGATCACAATATCCTCGCTGCCAGACATGCTTGATCTAACTCGCTGTGGGCGCAATGGTGAAACGGATTGTATCCAGCAAGATGGAACTGGGAGACGGGAGTCTCCGATTCAGACCAGTGAGCATCAGAGTCTTGGATGATATGCCTCGGGTCTGTATGAGAGCGGGGTCGAGTTTGAGGAACAGATTTGTAGACGAGTATCATGATTACTGTTGTCGTTGATACCAAGATGCTTGACTCGTCGACATGGTCAGTCCACGTTCTGGTGGTCAATTGTAGCATGGCGCCGTTACACCATGATCCGTGCATTGGCTTCCTTGTGCGCAGATAGCGGCGAGCGAAGTAGAATTCAAGTGGCGTATTTTGAGCTCGAAGCCATCCATAACCGTACTGTCTAGCTTGGGTACAGTAGTAATAGTTTTAGTTGAAGAAAATTACCGCAAGCCGGACGGCCGGGCCAACATAGAGGCAACCCAGTTCACTGTACAGTCAGAACAGAACAGACGCACTCCAACGCCCAGACCAGAGGAACGAAGTGACGAGCCAAGGCCCGATCGAGAAGGACCTTCCCCAGAAGGTGATTTCAGATTATGTATGGGCGATTGGCCGGGTCCAGGGCCGGACCAGTGTCACTGCTAGACAGGGCTCGGGGACCTGAATCCCAGCTCCCAGTCCCCAGCAATGGATGCTATCAATGGACAGTGGAGAAGTGCTTCCCTGACGTTACATTTAGAAGTCATCTCGTCTTCTTTTGGACCCTTCGATAATTTTGACAGCCTATCACTAGCAGGGACGATTGGCTGGGTCGGTCTTGCCCTTGTTAGGTAATAATGCCAAATTACCTTATCCTCAGGGAAGGAACCATGATGCCTACCCAGAGCAAGGTTCCCTGGGACGATCGCATGATTGAAGCAACGCTACTCAACCCTTTGAAATCCAGTCAAGATATGTACAGAGAAGTATACTAAAGCAGCTCCAGATGTTATGGAGAAGCAGTAATATACCAATGCCCAACACTGGGGCCGAACAGCTGCAGTTGGCCGCTCCATCGGTACCTTACATGAAAGTCATGACAAGACTTACGCAATCCAGCTCGCTCATCGTCATGAAGCAGCAACGCCATGCGCAATAGATCATCCACTATCTCTCTCCACAACTGGCGCACTATCATGTTACAGATAATAATGTAAGCTCAGCTCAGTCAGGAACAAGATGCCAACTAACGTTAGTAACCCAAAGTGCTATCCATTATCTCGTACTAATGCTTGAGCCGACTGCTCGTAGTGGTATCCTAGTTTAGTGCACACTTACCCAAATTTAGTAGGTGCCGCTCCGTCCCGTCAAGTTTTGTTTTATGCAAAACCGCAGACCCAAGTTAATGTCACAGCGCAGCACCCGGGTTTGCCGCATAAAATTATTTCTCAGTTCCCTCTCAAAGAATGGGGCGATGCTGTGAACCCCACCGACTCTTCACATTCCTGCACTATTCTGGGTGAAGGCAGTGTTATTACCCACCTATATTTCTACGCATACATATTTTTGGTGCTGCAGGCCTCATTGCACGCATCGTTGATCAGTTCAGGTGGTGGCCCACATGGAAGTTGCTTGTCATCATCGGCCCAAGATATTCCAATGTCATCTGTTTTGACACTGAGATGATTATTACGACTCTCTGTCAAACCGGCCTAAAAGCAGCCTGTAATGTATCAAGTACCGAGCAAACACTTGACTCGAGAACGAACATCTGCACAGCATGGTTGTATGCCACATTGGTTTATTGCGCCATCATAGTTCATAATGCGAGTCAAGCAAAACATGCGAACTGACAGGCAAGCTCGCAGGCAAGCAACTGCAGAGAAGAAGCAACCAACCAAATACTCGTCAGGCTATAAGCAATCAACCCAAGTTTGACCTACAAGATCGACCCAGTTAGACAAACATGACCTGGTCTGGTCATACATTGACTTTTGTGATCAGATATCTGGTTTCCGGTCGTTGTTTCAACTTACACCTACTATACCAATGATGATTGATCAAGGTTTCCGCCAAATAAGCGTCGTGATCCATCACCCCGTTTGGTTCCTTAGTGGCCATATGTCCAACCAGAGCTCGACGCAGCTCATCGTCACCACAGGCTCCCTCCAACTTGGGCCGCAGAGCAATCAAGAGATGGGACGGAATGGGACGGGTGACGTCTGGCGCTCCACCAAGTCGAGTGCCTGCCAGAGGCCGCTTCGAGGTGATCAACAAGTTAAAGAAGCCTACATACGAGTGAAGCAGCCGCGTCGACAGTCTGTACCTTGCATAGCACGTCCTACCATGCATCGGATGGATGTGACACGACATAGCCCGGCGAATGGAAGCGTGCATATCGGCGCCGTGGACAGTGCAATAGACAGAAGCGGTGCACAACGCAATTCCGAGTGGACAGTTTTGGAGTTGTGCACGGCCAGGATCCATTCTGAACGTGCCCAATCTTCATTGCCTATTACCGCATGTTGTTTATTATTCTGTGACAGCGCGGCGCGGCGAATCCAATGCACGCCGACTCGCCAAGGCATTACCCTATCAGTGAACGGGATTATGCAGCCCTTGTGACGCGGTTTACGGTTTGCGTGCCACCCAGCGATAGGGAGGCTACTGGTAGCGAGTAGTAACGCACCGTGGCGCGCCTTGGCTAGGGTCATGGCATAACTCGCAGTCTGTCTGGTATTCTTGAGACCCCCACTGGCTGGAGACTATAGAATAAGCATGCATTACAGAGCCTTGCAGACGAATGGAAGGGATAAGATGAGGGAGGCAGAGAAATGTGCAACAGAATGTGCTCATCATTAATGGCGGCTGTGGCATTCGTTCCGTTCGTCGGATCGGATTGTGCTAGACTGACTAATGGATGGAGGGCCAGGTTATGCTGTGCTGAGACTGGAAGAAGCTGCCCGGGTTGTAGGTGATAAGCCCACGCATAATCACTCACCGCGCGTACAAAAACCAACCAACAAACGAAAAAAGTGATGGACAGCACAAAAAGAGACACCAAGGGCAAGACATGGAACTTGTGCACACTTGCACAAGCGACCGAGGACGCTCTTTCGTGAGCCTTTGGCTCTTTGGTGCCATCCATCTTCTCACACGCGCATCCACATAAACATCCATATCCATACCTTATCCACTACTTTATGGCCGAGCTCTTTATTCAGTCGAAGCATGGGTTATTGCATTGGTACGGTATAGGCTTCGGAGGCTACTCTCATACCGCGGCGGGCCATCCGGCGACGGATAGGCTCGACGTTTCGTCCAGAATTAGAAAAGAGCAGTGGCTGCGCCATTGTGGTGTGGATGGAAACCGTGGCCCCGTCCCCCGTACGGGCAAGAGTGGCAGAAGGTATTAGGGCATCCATGGGCTTAATGTGAAGAAAGACTAGGGAAGCCCAGTCCCGCACCTGATGGATGTTTCCCTTGCCCCAGACATGACTTGGGTGCTTTGACAGGGGTCCGGGGGCACTCTGCCGTCTGGTCCGCCGCTGGGCCCTGGAGGGTGTGCGTGGGCGTGTACAGATTGTGAGTGTCAGGACCTAATAAGTGAAGCTAGTGGATCCCATAGAATGGGATGTGGTAGTGGTGGATCTTGATCCACAGCTCCCTGACCCTGGCTTGTTCGAGTGAGACACGACATGGAGGGTTTTCCAACTGCCTATCGAGCATCTGGAGTGTATACGCCAGGCCTCGTCGTCAGTACTTATCACTCCACGGTCCCCGTGCTTGTCTATCCTTCGTTTCTCTCTTCATCAAACGGTATGATCGACGGATCTGTGTAATACTTTCTTCTCTTTTATGCCAGGTTCTTCCTTCTTTTGAATCGTTCTTATTTGCTGGATTATCCTCATCTCGAGAGTCCCTCACATTCATTATAAACAACCACTTGCGGCACTCTCGATATACTTGATAAATCTCTTGTTCTTGTTTCAACTTGATCTTGAGACTCTTCACGTACAACAAGAACTTCCCCAACCAACATAACTAATACCGTCGAGCTACAACTCGACACCCACTCTTTGGAACACCAAAAAGGAATCGAACACCACACACCATCCTTAGGCCGACAGCCAGTCCCAGCAAACTATACACCAATACCAATTAATAACTAAACTCACCACCGCAGCCAACTTTAAAAGGTTTGTGGAATCTTGGGAATACCAGTCGATTCACAATGTGGCTAACATGATTGTCTCGATTAGAAATGGATTCCACAATGATGCCCCAGGCCATTGGCCAAGGTCCCTTCTACTTCTACAACACAGAGTCCAAGCATGACGTCCGACAACACTACCCTCAACAACAGATGCACATGTATCCCATGGTCCCTACGTTGCCTTCCACTCCCGTCTACTCGCGACCCAGCTCTGCCAGTAACTCTCAGCCTCCCACTCTGTACAGCAATGGCCCTGCCGTCATGACTCCCACTGCTTCGCCTCAGCCCATGTCGCATAAGCCCGCAATTCTGTTAGAGAACGAGTTCTACGAGAACCCTTACTTCCCATCGACACCACCTCTGTCAACTTCTGGCAGCACTATTGGTAGCCCCAGTGCCTGCGAGGTGCTTCAGACCCCCATGAACCCCATGTTCTCAGGTCTCGATGGCCTCGACGGCTTCAAGGAGGCTCTGGAGCCTGTTGAGACAGCAGTCCTCGACTGGTCGAACTGCGGATCTCCTCCCATGACACCTGGTAAGTAAACAAAAATTTCCTTACCACAATTTGTTCCAAATATGGAATTGCATGATGGCATTGTACCGCAAACTCGGGCTTGGGCCTATTTTTGGTGGTGATTGCGGGAAAGTAGGTAGTGCTGACGTTGGCTGCCGCTTTCTCAACCCAATCACCTACCAAGGCGTAGGCCTGCGGTGCGCTGTCCTAGCGTTCAAATAGTGGAGCATATACGGGAAAGACCTGGAAGCTAACTCTGTCTGGCAGTGTATCTCCAATCTCAACTCGGAAAGGTTCCCTCTCTTAGCAACACCGCCAGCGACATCTTGTCCACACCATCTCTTTCTCCCTCACCCGCGCCCTACGCGCGATCTGTGTCTACTCCAGATTTGGACGTTGACTTCTGCGACCCAAGAAACTTGACTGTCGGTACTGGCGCTATCAACAGCACTCTTGCTCCTGAGTTCTGTGCCGACGAGATCAAGGTTGAGCCCAAGATCGCTTCTCAGTCGTTTGACTTCAACCCTGCTGCTCACGGCCTCCCCACCTTTGAAGACTTTTCCGAGTTTGACTCTGAGGACGACTTCGTCAACAGCCTTGTCAACCTTGCTGAGCAGCCTGCCAACGCCTCTACTGACATTACTCGACCTCGTGCCTGCACCGGTTCTTCGGTTGTCTCTCTCGGCCACGGTAGCTTCATTGGTGACGAGGATCTATCCTTTGACGAGAACGAGGCTTTCCAGTTCCCTTCCCACCCTAGCCCTCCTTCCACCTGCGCTTCCACCTGTGCTTCTGAGGACTGCCACCAGAACAAGCGAGTCAAGAAGTCCCAGTCCGAGGAGCGCCACACTGCTCCCGCCATGAACATCGCTGCTTCCGCTGCCGACTCTGGCAACGCCCAGGAGTCCCCCAACCAGGCTGATGAGGGTAGCGACTCTGGTGCCTCCTCTGGTTCCGAGGGTTCTCCTGCTCCTCTCCCTGCTCCTGCCAACCGCCGAGGACGCAAGCAGTCCCTCACCGAGGATCCCTCCAAGACCTTTGTCTGCGATCTTTGCAACCGTCGTTTCCGCCGTCAGGAACACCTCAAGCGCCACTACCGCTCTCTCCACACTCAAGAGAAGCCCTTTGAGTGTAACGAGTGTGGCAAGAAGTTCTCCCGAAGCGACAACCTGGCCCAGCATGCCCGAACCCACGGCAGCGGTGCCATCGTCATGAACTTGATTGATGATGACTCTCATGCCTACGGTGCCTCTATGGTGTCTGCTGCCGACGACTATAGTAATTACGGCAAGGTCCTCTTCCAGATCGCCTCCGAGGTCCCTGGCAGCGCCAGTGAACTTTCTTCGGACGAGGGAAGCAACCAAGACAAGAAGAAGCGCAAGCGCTCCGACTAAATAGTTTCAACACTATTTGACATCTAACATGATCAAGAGAGCCACTTGACTGTCTTGACATATGCCGAAACGACGCTGACGACCTTCTTCTTCTTCGGCCACCCGCATCTACTTGACGGTGGCATTTGGGTCACGGAACATTTTTCCGTTTGGGGTACATACCCTTGGGTTAAAGGGAATCACAAAAGAGTGCAAGCGGTAATGAATGCATTTACAAATCGTCACTATAACCTGTATCAACAATATCCACAGCTTCCTCTACGCATGACGACAATAGGGAGGACATTTGATTTTATCGACATCTTGTTTTTGTTCAAGAGTTTCAATGCATTGCGACTGCCAATCGTGCACACCGCCGTTTGAGCATGGCTATCTGGGCGACTTTGTTTTTCAACGGATACATCTGGCGCGAAGAGGGGAAAAATTATTTGGTTTTTGAGAATATTTGGGAATCCACACCTAGGAGCGAAATGAAGGTGTGATGAGTTTGCTAGCGACAAAGACTACCATACAAATTTGGCGGCTTGCCGTTCTTACACTCGTTGTAATCATCTTGGGCGACCGGAAGCTGGAACTGAAGGTTCGCCAGAGTGACGGTATCACTTGAGGGCTTTGGGAGATGAAGGGGTCTTGTCTTTCGTCTTCCATATTCTTGTGTTTACTCTGATTCTTTGTCTGTCGTTTGCCTGTTGCTGGATTTAGAGATGTCAAGGATAGGAATGTGCTGGTCACAATCATGACACTCATTCATCCTTACAGTGCTACATGTATACATTAGAAGTTTGATCTATTGATCAACAATTTACATTTTGCTGCTACATATTAAGTTTTTGCCTTGTGATTGCCTCTTGTGATATGATTTCTCCAGTCTGGGTTATTCTTCTACTCTGTACGCTCAAGCAAACCAAGTTGACTCAGAGCCCAAAGTTTCCTTTGAGTCGCAGCAACACATGCTCATGCTGCAGTAGTGTTACTATCTACTGTACAGTACCGTAGTTCTCAGAGCCAAGCTTTTCATAATCGCCGGTAGCACCCGCGGGACCTTGCATGGACCCTGGATAACCCACTGATACATCAAACACTGCACCACCTTTGCAACTTGGAGGAATGGCTGGCTACCTCTCTCTAGTCCGTTCTTCTCACCTCGACGGTCATTTCAGTCGAGGCTAGAAGTGAAGAAAGAGGTCAGATCGGCGATCGCAGGTAGCGCCCCGGTTGTGCTCAGGGACATGGACCCTGTCCGTCCTGTCCGTGTTGGCGTTGGTGTTGGTGTTGAAAACCCACGGGTAGCGCTTCCTGCAGGTGGGACTGATCGAATACATTACTCGTTTCTTAAGCTAATAACGCAAGTGTGGTTTCTGGGCGAAAAGTACCCTTGGGAGATGCCGGCACATGTCGTCTACCTAATGCTCGCGGCTCTATCAGAGAAAGACCCTGATGTCTCACGCATTTCTTTGGTGATCGTCATGGCTCGGACGGCAACCTCTCCACCACGCCATTCCTATATAACACGGACGGCAGCACGACAGCCCTGAGATGTGTAGAGACGGGGTGAGGAAATTACACGAGACGGGACCGACGGTGATCAAAAAAGGCCATTCCCATTGATCGACGCCTCTTCAAAGGCTTGATTCCGGCTGGTTAACACAAGGCCAGGGGACAAAATAAGGTCCTGAACTAACACCTCTGGGGAGTAAAATTGTTTGTTCAACTCAAGCTGGCTAGATCATCCAGGGACCTGTCCCTTATTTGTTAGTTCAGCCATCCCGAGATGAAACGCATGGAGCCAAGCCAGCCATTGTCGTTTCTTCAGATTTGGCCTTCCTCTTGCTCTTGCTTGGTCAGGTTAGGTAGCTGGGTAAGTGGTTGTAAGCCCAGGATCCACAGAGAAAACAGTCTAAAACATCCACCACCAAATGAATCTGCTTCACACTATCGATACTTTTACACTATACACCACACCACACACTAAACCGCGCTACACTTCATCAAATATCGGCACGTAATTTCAAGTAAGCCATAGCCTTCTTCCCTAAGCCTTCCAATCTGTTTCCTGGGCCGTTGCTGATTGTTACCAGATTACTTTTGCCCGGGGCCTCATTTTCAGGCCGTTGATTGCCTGCCTTTCTGGGCAAATCTACAACCGTGCTGGCAAAAGGCAATATCCACCATGGCTTCGGAGCAGCTCAATGTCATTGCCCTAATCTCGGGAGGCAAAGACAGCTTCTTCAATCTGATCCACTGTATAGAGCACGGCCATCGGATCGTAGCTCTTGCAAATCTTTTCCCAGGGTCAGGGACTTTGACATCCGACTCAAGCGCAGGCACACTTTCAGGTGTCAACGGTATCCCACGCGGACAATCACCGTTCCGTCAGGAAGACGCCACTGAGGCTGGGTCGAGGACCAGTGACCACGCATCCACTGATATCCTATCTCCAGAGGGCTTCCAGCATATCCATCCGGAGACGTGGGTACCTCAGCCTCCCGAAAGACATGGACATGATGGCCAGGACTCCGGGGAGCCTTCCGATACGGATCTGAACAGTTTCATGTACCAAACTGTCGGGCACGAGGTCCTCCCCCTGTACGCCGCTGCAACCGGTCTGCCACTCTATCGCCTGCCCATCACTGGGCGTGCGGTTCGCCACGAGAGGGACTACGATGCCACGGTCGAAGCTCAGGACAAGGACAAGGGCGATAGCGGCGACGAAACAGAGTCAATGTTGCCCTTGCTACAGGCTATTGTCGCCCGCCATCCAGAGGCCAATGCTGTCTGTGCAGGTGCCATCCTGTCCACCTACCAGCGTACCCGTGTTGAGTCAATAGCACTCCGTCTGGGTCTTGTGCCCCTGGCCTACCTATGGCAGTATCCGATCTTGCCACCCCCGCCTGGAGCCATCGCAGACGACACCCAGTTGCTAATCGATATGGCTAACGCTGGGCTGGAAGCACGGATCATCAAAGTTGCCAGTGCTGGTCTAGACGAAGACCATCTGTGGGAACGCGTGTCAAGCGAGACTGGCTCACGTCGTGTCAAGAGCGCGTTGCGCAAATTTGGCTCGACTCAAGGCGCCGCAGCTTTGGGAGAGGGTGGCGAGTTTGAGACGCTTGTTGTGGATGGTCCTTACTCAGTGTTTAGGAAGAGAATTTCCATCCTGGAACAGGGGCGTAAGATCGTGCGTGAAGGAGGTGGCTGCTCATGGCTGTTGCTGGCTGGTGCACGGGTAGAGGATAAACAAGATCCTGCACCCAATTCAACAGTTCGGGTGCCCGATCTCCTCGATCCACGATTCAAGGCTGTGTTTGATGAGCTGCCATTAGCCCTGGACCAACTGAGGGATATAGACGCCTTAGCAGTTACCGGGAAGCCGGTGCCGCTGACCAAAAATACAGTGTCCTCAACTGAGGATGTTGAAACTCAGCGTTGGTCTGTTCTTCCAGACGCCACCACAGGTGAAAGGTCAATCCAAGAGGAGACTATTCAAGTGGTAGAGAAGATCAGAGTGCTAGCGTCAGAAGCTGGTATTCAGCTCTCTCAGGTCACAAACACTATCATTGTTCTACGGCACATGTCAGACTTCCCAAAGGTCAATGGTGAGTACGGGAGATTGTTCCCAAAACCAAACCCGCCATCTCGAGTGACTATTTCTTGTGGCGAACTACTGCCTGGAGGCGTGAACATTGCTGTCTATCTCAGTGCGCCTACACCCAAGACGTCACAAGACCGCAATGGCCTACATGTACAATCTAGATCTTACTGGGCGCCTGCAAACATAGGTCCATACAGCCAAGCCATCGATGTGCCGGTAACAGCTCACCTTCAAGCAACAGGGCTGAGATGCATCTCTATTGCAGGGCAGATACCCCTGATCCCAGCAACGATGCTGTTACCTAACCCATTTGAAAAGTCACACGAGCTCCAGATAGTGCTGTCTCTACAACACCTCTGGCGAGTAGGCCAAGAGATGAAGGTTCAGTGGTGGACAAGTTCTGTTGCTTACTTCCCACGGGCTAGCTCCTCAGTTGAGATCCAGCGCAGTGCTCAGCTTGCAGGACATGTCTGGAGGAAAGCACACGGGTCTCCAGAAGAAGAAGAAGACGCTGATGGTGGCCCCGATCTTTGGGACCTGAAGTTCAATCCTGCTTACATGTCACTCGGTAACGATGATAAGACAGCCCGAAAGGTCATTCCTGACTGGGATGCGCTCACTCTTCGTCAACAGAACGAGCCTGAGACATGCGTCCCTCCTATGTTTGCCGCTGAAGTCGAAGAGCTACCACGGCAGGCAGCAGTAGAGTGGCACGCTCATAACGGCCTTTCCAGAGTTGAAGAGGGCAGCCTTGTGTTGGTTTCTCTTTCCGAAGTCAATGCTCCTGGCTGGAATACATGGCATTCAGTTGTCACAACCGAAACTGCAACTGTTGTATACAGTACGGTGTCATATATTTGCGCTGATGGGGCCCAGTCTTTGGCTCTGGGCGACTTAAAAACGGATATGCAAAAAGTCGTCCGTGAGTCTTTCCAGCGACTCCTTCCTCAAGGACCAGAGGTTGTACATAGTAAGCTTTCTATGGTATACGCAGACGCTCTTCAAGTCAAGCCTATCTGGAACAACACTAGAGACAACTGCGAGGCGGCTATCATTCCTTGCCGATCTATCTGGTCATCTGAGGGACATAGTGCCATGGCCGTGGGCTTATTCGAAACGACCCTAGTACGTGGTTCATGATTACACGAAGTTATGAAATTTGAACAAAATTACCTAGTAACAAATCTTATCGTACATAGATCTTCTCTAACCATTTCGACCCAGTATTCTGCCTGCTCTGCGGTGAACTGACCAAAGCCGAATGCTAAACATCTTGTACACACTGGTTGGCTGATTCTCGCCAATAACCCTTATCGGACTATCATGCGTCGACATATTTCATATGTTGTGGAGGATATCGCTCGCCCGCTGGGGTAAAGGAGGCGAGTAGACTGTCAATATCATGCAAATCCTCATCGGTCAGGTCAACAATCGTGGCATTCTCCCGGATACGGTCGGGCTTCGTCGACCCAGGGATAGGGACAATTGTGGGCATACCCGGGCGTCGAGAAAGCGACAGTAACCAGTTGATGGCGATCTGGCTCACGGTGCAGCCCTTCTTCTTTGCAAGGGCCTCAACGTTGTTGACAAGTTCGATATTCTTTAAGAGATTGTCGCCTTGCCAGCGAGGATGCATCTTGGCACGGGGGTCATCTTCAGGAAGATCCTTGGCAGACTTGATCTGGCCTCCGAGGAGACCTCTTCCGAGGGGCGCTGAAAGTCTGGTTAGATATCACGGTTCATTTCAAATTAAAGAGTGCAATGCTCACAGTATGCAAGAACGGCAATGCCAAGTTCTCCGCAAGTCTCTAGGAGACCGTTTGTCAGGGGGTCTGTGGTGAAGAGCGACAGCTCAATCTCAATTGCAGTGATCTTGAATTTCTTTGCCGCACTACGAAGAGTGTTTACATTGATCTCGCTGCATGAGATGCCATCGATTTTGCCGGCCTTGACATACTCGTCGATGGTAGTAAGGGTGTCGTTCTCGTAGTCAGCGTTGGGGTCTTTACGACCGACTTCGAATGTAGCAATTCGTCCGGCAGGGCCCAGAGTCTTGACGCAGTCATCAATACTGCGACGGGTGTTTTCCTTGCTACCCATGGGGACATAGTTGTGACCCAAGCCTCCCTTGATAGTAAGGACGATACGGTCAGCATCTTCAGGATACTTTTCAAGATAACGACGGATGAGAGTTAGCGAGTTTGCGTCTGGTGGACCATAAAACTCTCCGCCGTTTAGCCAGTTACAGCCGGCATCGAGAGCAGCTCGAATGGCAGCAAACGTAGTCTCGTCAGGAAGAGGACGCGCAGTTAGGCCTGAAGAATGGTTAGCTTGTGGTGGGCTTGGTTATATGAGAGTGTCGTTACCCATGAGACCATAGCCAATAGGGCCAACTTGCTTTCCAAGGATATTGTGCGACATGATGATGTTTAATGTGTTATTAAAGAGTAGTGTAGATATTGAGGAGTCAAGTAGTTGAAGCTGATAGATGTAACTGTTGAGTTGATGAGAGTGAAGTGATAGGAAAAGGAATATACAAAGTTCCATGGCTTGATATTTATTCATTATCTATTCTTCTTGATATCATAGCTTCCCTTGATCTCCCTCTTGTTCTATGATGCTATTGTCGTCTACTTACACGGGCATAAGAGCTGACATCGGAATTAAAAGTGGTGAAACGTACAGCCAACCAGTGGAGATCAACACTGATTTCCTAAAATGGAAAACAATCCAACGGCGAAGCGGGACCGAAAACTATGCTGGACTCGGCTTTAAAGAGAGTTCCGGGCTTTACGGCTTGAACAGAGCGGGTCGTAATCGGTAGAAATCAGATTTAATGGAAGTTTACTAGGGATATATGATTGGAGCTTCTATTTCTCAGTTACGACTTGATCATGATTTCAGCAGTTGATGGGTTGGTTCCCATGATGAGAGACTGTCACGCTGTACTCTAAGAGTCAGATGATGATGAACCACCTGAGTTGTAAAGCTATGAAAAGAGATACTTACTCAGAGCACTACCTCATCATTCAACTAATAGTTCATGTATATGAAATTTTCAATCAAGTCTATTGCAGTCTGTATGTTGATTCTCTTCCAACCTGCTTCACCTTTATCCAATAACTACCGAGTTGATAGAAGCGCTTGAGCCACTAGACTCAAGACAACCTAGGGAGGCTGAGCGCCTGTCACAAGAGACAACCCCACTGCAACTTGGTTCTGAAGCAAGGCAAGCTTGTTGTGACCTCACTTCTTCTTCATCTTTCATATATCAGACCCTTCTTTTACGACGTCTTCCACACAACATCCATCATAGCACGACAGTCTACCGCTGTCATCCCCAATTGAGTCACGTCAGATTTCGTGTTTCAGCGCTCTACGCGCCGCATATCAATTGAGAAGGTGCCAAGCCCTGCTCTGGTTGATCTTGTGATGGCCGAGACTGCGCCAAAGGCAGATGCCAATACTCACAACAATGCCCCCGCCCGATCTTCCAGTATTGGGTTTAATCTGGGAAGGCAATCTTCGTCGAACACGCGCATAAACGAGATATTGGAGGTGGGTAAATTCTTCCTATGCATGTCCATCCAGGTATCGTATGGTGTGAGACATGGGTTCATGAGATCAATCACACGCAGGAATAGTGAGCGGGAGAGGATCGCCAACCTCTTGTCTTTTCTCGCTCGTTGGCCATGCTCGTGCATACTCTTATCACTCTCAGGCATGCATGTGCCTGTTTGAACTATCTTCACCGTACAATTGGTGGCGTTCGTTCTATCGACTACCGGCGGATCTTCCCCCGTTTGACATAGCTCCCGACTGCTTAGCCGAATATTGCGTGCTCATCTCTCTTCCCAGTTCCTCTTCTTCCTAACGTACCATGCTCATCCTTCAGAAAACACACTCAGTATTGAAACTGGTGCTAATAATACCTTGTTATCTCTAATAGAACGCTCGTGAACGCGCCGAGTCAATGGCCCCTACTGCTTCTCCCAACAACCTCTCCCCAATCCCTGCCGGTAGTCCTATCCTCCCACCCAACTCGGCTCTTAAATCGAATCCTGTAAACGAGGATAGCAGCGCCGACGAGGCCACAGGCTTCATCTCTCATACACCACCCCTGAACTACAGCTCTCTCAACGTTACAAGCGCTGCGGCTTCTGGTCCCCGCGCTCGCAGAACATCTACTCGAAGCTCGCGCCAAATACCACCCTCTCATCGAAACAGTAACAGTGGCGTACCGACTCCTCAGGCAAACCAACAGGATGAACTAGAAGATGAAAGTCAATCCTGGTGGAAGGCACAAGCGGAGAAGTTCCATTCCATAGAGTTGGAAAACAAAGGCAGTGTCGCACGTGATCATCTTGCTATCGGTAAGCTTCACGTCGAAACACTGTCGCCAACTATCAATACTGACTACAGCACAACAGAACGAACGTTCCTAGCATGGTTACGAACATCTCTTTCGTTTGCGAGCATCGGTATAGCTGTTACACAACTCTTCCGACTCAATACCAGTCTCGAGAGCGGCAATAATGGCGATAAGATCTCGGACCGAAACGCTGCAACACTACGACACATGGGTAAACCTCTCGGCACCACGTTCCTAGGTATCAGCATTCTGGTCCTGTTTCTTGGATATAAACGTTACTTCCAATCTCAGCACTATGTAATAAAGGGGAAGTTCCCAGCCAGTCGTGGTACAATCATGATTGTTGCTTTCGTTGCTCTGGCCATCATGATTGCATCTCTTATAGTGGTGATTGCTATACACCCTTCTGAGCATGAGTTGTAACCATTTTCTGTATATGATTAATAGCCCAGCCTACATTGACCTAGTTGGAACAACTTTGGGTTTGGGTATATAGGCAGTGGTGGGTTGCTTTGCACATGGCGCATTGTATGGGATTCGTATCATGACTTAATGATACCAGGAGTATTTGCATACAGTACAAGACCTTTTGGGGGGGAAATTGGTCTCATTATACATACTGTTAATTAGATGACGGCATTAAATATCAATTCCATCATTAAAATGTACTTTTGCGAGCTCTCATGATGATAGGCATCATGACTACCCATTATATTTTCATGAGTCGTCAGACGTCACAGCGGGTTATGGCGGGGTCCATTCCTAGAGCTCCCCACCAAACAACACCATCCCACCTTTAAACTCCTACACTGACAACTCGAGACTTGTAAACGCTTCAGCCTCTTCCGAGAATATTCGCATAATTGTACAGAAATCAATCATGGCTTCCAAGCTAAAGCCTGTGGATATTCCAACCTTTGCCACCACTCAGCTTGCACTTCTGGACCAAGAGCTTCAGACTGAGATCAACGAAACCAGCACGCTCATTTCTAACCACAGTCCCACAGCCCTGCAACGCGCCGGTCTTGCTCTGACAAACCTCGTTGTCTCGGGCCAACGTACTGGTCTCGGTGGTCGGACAGTTCTTGAGCTCTCTCCCGACGCTGCTACGGGTTCAGCTGATGAACTGCCTGAGCATGGCCTACGTACGGGAGACATTGTCCTTGTCGCTGAACAGCCTGCCGGGAGCGCGAAGAAGCGCGAGGTGAAGGACTTGGAAAAGAAGGGTGCCAGAGGTGTAGTCACAAAGGTGAGAAGAGAATGGGTCTCTGTTGCAATCGACGAGGGAAAGGAGGAAGTTGCCTTCACAGGGAGGGTCTGGGCAGTCAAGTTAGCCGACGAGGTGACTTATAAAAGGTACCTCAACTCATCTTCTATTCAAATACCGAAAGTATGTCAAGTTAACAGGAACTGTTGCCAGAATGAATTGGACAATGGAGAAGCTTAACAAGATGAATGAGTCGGAATACTCCAGCTTAACCAGAGTGCTCTTTGGCTTGTCGAGTCCATCACCAGTCGCTACAGACTTGACAAAGGATGAAAACGTGGGGAACCTCGACTGGTTTGACCCTACACTCAACGACTCACAAAAGGATGCAATTAGATTCGCCCTAGCCTCTCGGGAGGTAGCCTTGATCCATGGACCTCCAGGAGTAAGTCAACTAACTCATATATAAAGCACATCCCTACTGACTTGTACCTAGACTGGCAAAACTCACACACTCATCGAACTGGTTCTTCAGATGATCAAGCTGAACCAGAGAATTCTAGTCTGTGGCCCTTCTAATATTTCAGTTGACAACATTGTCGAGAGACTAGCCCCTCACAAGGTCCCAATCCTTCGTCTAGGGCACCCGGCTCGTTTACTGCCTTCTGTTGTAGACCATTCACTCGATGTACTCACCCAGACATCAGAAGCTGGCGCGATTGTGAAAGATATACGTTCCGAGATGGACACAAAGCAGGCCTCAATCAAGAAGACAAAGAGCGGCAAGGAACGCAAGGCCATCTACACCGATCTTAAAGAACTACGAAAGGAATTCCGCGAGCGAGAACGTCGGTGTGTTAGTACCCTTATTGGCAGCAGCAAGGTTGTCCTTGCGACACTGCATGGAGCAGGAGGTTACCAGTTGCGGAACGAGGAGTTTGATGTTGTTATCATCGATGAGGCCAGCCAGGCTCTCGAGGCTCAGTGTTGGGTTCCCCTCGTATCTGCTAAAAAGGTCGTCTGTGCTGGTGACCATCTGCAGCTCCCTCCAACTATAAAGTCAACCAATACCAAGGTCAAGGCACCAGTTAAAGATGGTGTCGAAATCACAAAGGGTGCCACGCTCGAAGTTACTCTGTTTGACAGACTACTGGCGTTACATGGGCCTTCCATCAAACGAATGTTGACAACACAGTATCGAATGCACGAAAGTATTATGCGCTTTCCTTCTGACGAACTCTACGATTCCAAACTCATTGCTGCCAATGCGGTGAAACATCGTCTTCTCAAGGACCTTGAATATGAAGTCGAGGACAACGAAGATACTAATGAGCCTGTCATCTTCATCGATACACAGGGCGGAGACTTCCCAGAAAAGAACGAAGAAGACGACAAGGACACTCCCAAAAAGGGCAAGGCAAGTTTGCACGGCGACAGCAAAAGCAATGAAATGGAGGCAGCTCTTGTGCAACAGCACGTAAAACAACTCGTGGGCGCCGGGGTTCGTCCGGAAGACATAGCTGTTGTAACGCCCTACAATGCTCAGGTACGTCCAATATGCCAGTTAGTGGCGCATACATGAGACACATACTGACGATGGAACAATACTCAGCTTGCCGTCTTGGCTTCACTCAAAGACAAGTTCCCTGGCATCGAACTCGGTAGCGTTGACGGCTTTCAGGGCCGCGAAAAAGAGGCAGTGATCGTGAGCCTGGTAAGAAGCAATTCTGAAGGCGATGTCGGCTTTCTTGGCGAGAGACGTCGTCTCAACGGTAAGGTGACATCCCGAGGCTTCCCGTTCTGGATCGGGCAGACGAACATAAGACGACGTTTTAGCTAATGCAGGTCCATTCAGTTGCGATGACACGTCCTAAGCGATCTTTGACAGTTATCGGAGACTCGGAAACCGTTCAGAAGTAAGTGACATTCACAACGCGCGGTGGCACTAGGCCTCGAAGCTACAGCCGGTGGTTTGACAAGTGCTGCGCAAATTGTTCCAGCGATACACATGAGACGAACCATCACTAACGCGCCCTGGTTTCACAGAGGAAGCAGCTTCTTGAAGAAATGGATGCAATATCTCGAAGATAACGCCGACTTGCGATACCCAGATGCTTCAAACTTGACGCACGACTAGGCACACCTTGAGCGTGAGATAACCCCGCCTCAGCTTGGGATGGCACATGTTGGCAATGCTAATACGTAAGGCCATGTCGTAGCGTTGTCTCGAATATCTCGGCCGACAGATCGACTGTGGATTGATGTCGCTCCGAGTCCAGCGGACCACTTGGCGATGTGTGGAGGGAAAGCGGGAGTGGGTGACCTCAGCTTCTCCTGAAACTTCACCTACTTAGCCTCTTTCCCAAGAATTGGAGCTTTCAAATTCAGAGCTGAAAAAAGCATCCATCCGCTTTTGGACAGGTCAACACCTGTAAGCTTTCCCTACTTGCCGATTTATTCACAAAAGTAGTTAAGAGACTTGCTAGAGCAACGGTTACTCGAGGAAGAAAACAGCGCAGTTGCAATGCCAGTTATCAATATCCTGGGTTGTTTCAGGTCACCCATTCATTGTGGGACTGCCGAACCGTGGGGGACTGTTTGTGCTAGACTGTTTTCCTGTCAGAGGGTAGGATTTTTTCTAGCTTTGTCAAGGGAAGAAGTAGACGATGTTTCTTTCTGTTATTTAGACCTGCAAGGGCAACAAAGAACACCCTTGAGGTCAAATCCGACATTCCAAAGCATCAGCTGAAATTGAGCAAGAAAGAGATTAGCGTAGACGGTGATCAAGAGCCAACGCTCGGCCTGGTGACTTGGCAGCATGCATACTGCAAACTACTACATAATAAGCAAATAACGCCGTTGTATCAGTTTCAGGGAACCCCGGCTCAACAGCGACCTACAGTTGTTGCTGAGTTTTGCAGAGCTTTAAACTGGAGAGTACTGCGGATATCTGTGCCACAGACATACTGAATTCTGTATAGCACAGCTGTTGAGGTGCGGCGATGAATCTAAAAAGCCGTGCCATGCGAATGGCGCTTCATTGGTCGGAAAATAGAGTGTCATCCCTGTCGCCTAACTTAGGTCCCGCCGACACGAGAGATGGGTTCCCTAGATCGAGCACGTCAGGGCAGATCATGGAGGATCACCAAGAGCTCTCCAACACAAAAAGGCTGAAATCCTAGAGGGCTATAGTGCTATATCACTGTTAGAGAGCGACACGTTCTCAAGAAGAGGGGGGATGCAGGTACGATGCGAAAGCACCCTTTGGGAGAATGCATGTCAGAGGATGTTCATAAGTTATCACCTACTGGTACATAGTACGTGTACAACAGCAACTGCAGAGCTCTCAACTTGACTGAGCGCCCATGCATACTAATGACATGTCTGTATCGTGGGCCTGTACAGTAAGTTAGTAGTTTCGATATATGCGATGGATGACTGGTTCAAGCTCTTGATGAATTTGAGCAGTTTGAAACCCAGAGTACCAGCTAGTTGGTATCAATATAGACAAACTGATTGAACCCATGCCAAAGCACAACCTGGATCTCGAACAATTGGGCGTTGTATTATTGAAGACTGTGGCGTTGCGGTTGCAGTTATGGTTGCTTTTTGCGGTGGCTCTAACTTAATGTAAGTAAGCCGAGTCAGATGAACGTTTAGCGACCACGGGCGCTAACTGATTCAAGCTTCTGTGTGTTACCGTTGACTAGGTCGCATGGGGCCGCACATAGTTAACGTTTAGCTCGCTACGTTAGTTGGTTAGCAGTTGTTAAGAAAAAGGTATTGATGCTCTTTGACTGTTTTTGCATTGTATTGTAGATGAATAAGGAAAAAGATAATCAAACTTCATCCAATCTCTGACGGGTTCGAAGCATAACGCATGAACCCAGCAGTCTCAGCCATGAGGGTACCTTCCTCACGAATGACCAGCTATTTGTCAATTGGGGAGGTGCCACCCCAATAGCTTTAAGGAAAGCAAAGTGCCTCATCCTGTAACACGATCATCACTTTTTCTATCTATCATATTTTATAACAACGGTTGACCGTTTGCCACAAAAGAATGCTCATTTAGAATTTTACCGTTGGATTGACTACTTCTGCGGATACGAACGCCTCAAATTGATTTAATCGTTCTGAATCAATGTGCGCAAGTTCCTAGGGAGCGGCGCATGTGGCTTCAAATATACATAGCAAATTAATCTACGTCTAAAAACGG